CAAGGTTTTAAAAACTCTTTAAATAAAATGGCAAGATAGAGAAATCCACCAGAGTGTAAAGAGTGATTTGTCATTTTTGCTGTATGTCTTACTTGTTTTCTACAAGTAATGTGCCCTTGCATTACTTGAATTGAAAAAAAAAAAAAAAAAAAAAAGACTGTAAACCCTTTCTGCAGCCGGAAGAATGATGGAAATTAGAATTTCTTTTTACATAATCCCCTCGCATTTTGCTTGTGGATACAGCTGTGTTAACACAATGCAACATTTGAGTTGAGAGATCTGCCAGATCCTGGCACCAGTGGTAGTTTGCAGACTGAAGGTCTTATTTGATAGATTTTCAAAGTGATACTGTGCTCAGTTGTATCTATGTTCCTGGAAGGAGGCTTGCAGTCAGCTTCTCAGAGGAAATACTTTCAAAAGGAAAAGTTTAATTTTGCCAAGATTCAGATAAGGTCAGAGTAATTGGACAAACCAGAGCTTTGTAGGTTAGAGATGAGCACAGCCTGCTCCCTGGGACTGGCAAATGCACTAGGAGAACAGGAAAATGAACTGCATGAGGATGATTACATTTGCTGAAAATCTGAAGTACTGTGTGTATCTCTTGGCATATTGTCAAGTGTAGAGTTGCATTTGAGCAGGGTGGGGTTTTTCTACTTTTTAAAATTAAGTAAAATGTATTTCTTTTTCCTGTTTCTGGTTTCTACTTTAACCCACCAGAAAATGGATTCGCTAAATTAATTCTAGTTGTTTTAATACTATGTATTTATAAATTGCTATAAAAATTGATTGTAATATGATGCTAATTCACCATAGGTTTTACAAGTGCATCTGTAGTGGTTTCTACGTAGCTTCCATGCTTTTCTGTTATGGGGCAGTAGGGATTGTATTCCAGCTGTACCCCACTGCTGGCCAAGGGAATGCTCTGACAGGTAGCAACCAGCATTGGCTTCTGACATCAGCTGACCTTTGCCAGCTTATACTTAAGGTCTGGACTGATAATTTTCTCCTGTGTTTTCTTGGCTGCAGAACAGTAAAACCATTTCTTAATTTGCCTGAGGTAGTTTCTGGGAGAGTCTGTGCTCAGTGATTGCACAGCCTTTACAGGTAGAGAATGAAAGAGGACAGACTGAGTTACTTCAGTGGGGTAACTCACATTTAAAATACAGGAAACAAAAAAAGTGATAATTCTGTGGGCTAGCCAGCAAAAGGAAAGCTGCAGATCTCTTCCTTCAGTGGTGGCATACATGGAGTCTCTTCCTGCTATCTTTTTATCTCTGTTAGAGTCTTTCCTTACTCAGGTCTTGTTAGGTTGGCTAAAAGATCAAAAATCTTAGTTAGGAACTAAGGAACAGGAAGCTAGTGCAGTTGGATAGCCTTGACTCCTTAGGAAAGAGAAGAGGTGCGATTGTGGGAGGATTGTGGGCAGGGACTTTGTGCAGATTGCTGTGGCTGAGCTCGGGGGAGGCATACAGACAGACTGTCTCATCTTTCTTGGACTTTGGGCTAAAGAAATGGGATGTTTTGCTTTGTAAAAGCAGGATTGGAATAGGAGGATTAAAGGGAATGATCCTGAGAAGTCCAGTGAGGTGGTCATTGGCTCTAATATAGTTAAATATAAGAACATACAAAAAAATCCTAATAAAATTGCAGTAGAGGGAGTAAAGTAGGAGGTGTTTTGATGAGGAGTCAGAAGTCAGATTGCATACAAGCATGTGAAAGGTGCTCTGGCATTTCTGTGTGAATGAAAACCAGCAGGAGAAGGGAATGGAAGAAAGATAAAATGGGACCTGTTTTTTTGAAGCATACAGCTTGCATGGGCACGAACATCCATGCAGTAGCATTGGACTTGAGGGAAGTTTGCCAAGCAGACAGATCATGCCTTCTCCCTGCCCTGTCTTGTTGGTCACACACAGGAGCTCTGTCCTGGATGTGGGGAGCTGCAGGAAGGCAGTGCTGTGGGTAGGGAGTGTCTGGCACCGGCTGCCCACAGAGAGCTGGGACAAAGCCCTGGGGCACAGAGGAGGCTTCCCTCCAAATGGCCTGGCAAAAGGCCACGTGGATTACACAGCGAGCTGGCTCCTGCAGCCTGGTGACATTTCCAGGTGGGTTTCTGAGCAGGCTGCACCTGGGCAGAGTCTGGGTGAATCTGCCTCGGTGCCTGGAACACAGGAGGAGGAGAAAAACCTTCTTCTCTCCAGTAAGTGCAGGAGATGACATGCTTTGCTGACTTGCTCCACCTAGCTTCTCAATCAGAGGACTTTGTTCTGACAGCCTCATACAATCCAAGTGCAACAAGGACAACTTCAGAGCAGTGGTTTTCCAGCCTGTCTTGGATCTGAGTAATCATCAGATGTGCACGGCTATGTAGAGAAATGAAGCCTCCTTGACAATAGGTTTGTTTTTCTGCATGGTATGAAAATACCTCTCAGCTCTGAGGTAGGAGCCTGCCCTCAGGTTTTGGGTGTTGCACCCAGCCTGGCTGTCCATTTTACCAGCAAGCCCTAGTATCTTTTTGTGTTATTGGATGGTGAAAAAGAAGTATCTGCACCAAAAGAACCCTTCCCAGCAAACACAAAGAAGCCCAGCTGTGTTTCCCGTTGTGCTGATTTTAGTCAGAAATACTAAAACCCACTCAAACATGAAAAATTATTTAGGTTACCCTAAATTAATTTGAAATTATGTTGTAACCATGAAAGGTGGTAGGGATTGATTCACTGGCTGTGTGGAACTGGGAAGAGCTCAGCTGAGGCTCAAAGTTAAGATCCTACAGTTAGCAGTAATGTTGCAAAACAGTGACAATATAGAAGTTATGAAGAAGTTTGGAGCTCCAGAAGCTCTTACAAGTGAAATAAGCAGTGGTTTTATTTGAAGCTTTCTTCTGCTGTAGTCATACCACTCTTTGAAGGGCAAAAACTGTGTGTGTGTTTTCCTTCCTCTGTGGAGAATGAAGAAATACCAGCATGGTCTTGTTTTGGTAATAGGATTGCATGCAGACATCCTTGTGGTTAAAGTGAAAAAAAAAAAAAAAAAGAAAACCCATGAGATTTCCTGTGAAGGGGTTGTTGTTTGCAAATGGAGTGATTAAATACTGAGACTAGAGATGTACAGACAACTGCAGGGTCTTGCTCATAACCCTCTAATGTAACTCCTTAACACACTCAGGTGAAAATCTTCTTTCCAGAATTGATCTAAAGATTTTTTTTTTTAAATATAATTTCTTATGCTCCCTTCTTACAGAGGGGAGCAGCTGCTCTGTACCTTTGTATATGTGGCAAATGAGGAGACAGAGCTTAACTTATTTAATAGCACCTGCCAAACACCTGCTGAACATCATCTCTTGTGGGATTACTGCAGACAAGTTATTTAAGCACACTTCTAGGTGAATAAACACACTTCACAATTCTTTAGTGCTTCACCAGGAGTGTATCCTTTAAATATACTGATTTTGGAAGAAAGTTGGAATTTTTTTTTTTTTTTTTTCTCAGCACTCTTTTTTGTCTTCTCTTGCTCATCCCCTGGTGTTTGGTTTTCACAACAGTGCAGAATTCAAGATTTTACTTTCAGCCTTCAAAGTCTGCAAACCCTGCCAGGAAAACCAGCAGGTTGCTGAGCCTCCTGGCATGTCTGCCTTTTGACCAGAATGCAAGTGGAAAAATGTAACCTAGTGCTCTTGTGGTGGGATCTCTGGAAACAAGGCGAGCTATTTAAAGCTTCTGCAACATGTTAAAACTAAAATGTTTCTTTTCTCCTGCTTGTACCTCTCTGTTTTCTCAAGTACTTTTGCTTGCCAGGGTTTTTTATTTAATCCTTCTGCCTTGGTCTTCTTTACCCGTGTCAATTCTTTCTCATAAGGCATTAGAGGGAAGCAGAAGCATTCATGTGTTTGGTGTGGGGATCTGTCAGATTTGGGGTTTTACCTGTCACCATTCTCTGTCCCAGCTGGTTTGTTCTGCTCTGTCTCCCTCTGCAGCCACACCACTAAACTTGGTTTTCACTGCTGCTGACAGCCTTTTATTTTAATTTCTGCTTGTATCAAATCAAAAGCTGTGTCTCTACTCTGTAATTGTTTGCATTTGTATTATTTGCCCCTTCTGGTAGCTGCAACTTCCAACATAACTCCCTGCTATGTGGTTGGAAAACGTGTGTGCAAGGAGAAAGGCTGTTTAAATACAGTTACAGCTCACCTGTAAAAATCCTAGGATGACATCTTAGCCATGGAACTGAATCCTGCTTAGTTCAGAAGCTGATTCACAAATTACTGGTGTGAATTGGTTGTGACTTTAGAAGAACTCTGCTATTCTACTTTCAGATGGAGATCACCCTCTTGATATTCCTCATATGATGGATGCATTAATGTATTATCCTGGGTGTTGAACTGTTAGTTCGGTTACCTGGTAGCTGAAAATGCCACTTCTTCCTAAATTCATCTTCATTTCCTGACTTGAATATGACTCAGTTGCATTTTAGAAATCTGAAGCAGCTTTTTTTGGGGGCTGTTAGGGTTTTTTGTTGTTGTTGTTTGTTGGTTTTTACTTTAATGGTAGAGTGTTTTCTCCCTTTTGGGTGATGTTAAACTGTTTTTTTTCCCCCTCCTGATAAGTCCTGCTAATACTGTAATATTTGAGAGTGGATTGTAATGACATCTAACATTTTGTTCTGTTTGTACTGCAGACTGAGGTCAAGTAAACAAAGAAAGCAATCATTATGTTTTAGCATTCTTTTTTAATGAGCACATTAAAATCTAGTCACAGCTACAGGATCAGCTGTGAAAAAGAAGGGAGAGATACTGAACTCTGAGTAGCACTGTATTTTTGAAGCAGTTTATGGAAAAATAATGGACTGAGGGGATATGTAAGGACTCTGGTAGGAAATAAATGGCACGATGTTGTTGACGGAAAGGGTTTGGCAGAAGGCTTGTTGTGACTGTTTCTGTGGCTTAGAATTGCAGAGGAATTTCCTACAGGCTGGACTAACCCTTCCAAACATGTGTCTGCTTTTAGGAGATCAAGGCATACAGTGGAGTCTTCTCAGGGAAGATGTCGTCTTTGACAATGAGAACTCGTTGTGTGGACAAAAGAGGAAGTTTCTTTAAGGTAAATGGGATACTTACACAGAACAAAAAGTATTTCACATTTTATGTGAAATGAGTGCAGCAGAATGTGCAGTACTCTCTGTGATACATAGTAAGCCTTTTCTGTAAAACAGGAAGTACTTCTTGAGCATTTCTTTTTACAGGCAGATTTGTGGCTGGATCACCCCCCAGTTATTTCACATGTATATTTTTTCTGTACATGGAAAGAGTGGAATATTTGGTGTAAAATAGGTCATGGCTTTCTTTGCTGCTAGTGCTGAAAACATAAGCTTTATTGTGGACAGGCATAAAATTACTTGAGCCTTCATAAACTGGATTTGTGTCACTTAAAGTTGTGCTACAGATTTATGATTTCCATTACTGGATTGAAAATTGGTTTCATTTCCTTGCCTATTTTGAGAACAACTGGCATCCCAAAAAGCCAGGCTGCAGTAGGAGTTACCAGAGCAGTTTTGAAAAGATGATGTGCCAGGGTCACAGTGTCTGCCTTGCTGGGCAGGGTTTTGCTTTAGGGAACCATCAAAATTTACAAGTGCTTTTGGGCACTGAATTAAGCAATCACATCCCTTAGACTATTCATCACTTACTGTAGCTTCTTCCAGTGAAAGATGCTAACGCTGCTGTCTTGGGGTGTTGCTGTTTCCATTCCTTCTCTTCCTCTGGGGCAGAAGTTTCCCTTGGGGAAATCTTTAGGAAGTGAACGATCAATGCTGCAGTGACATCATGTTTTCCTTTGTCTTGCCCAGCAATTACCAAGGTCATCCAGTGACTGGGAACCATCTCTCAGTTCTGCAACACACTCCAGCTACCTCTCATAACTCAGGAGTACAAACATCAGCCTTGTTGATAGCATGCCACAGCCAAATAGGGAGAACAGCCTTACTTTCCAAATCACAGCAAGGAACTGTCTCAGTTCCAAGAAATATCTCTAGGTTGTCTCTTGCATGTATGCTGAAGGACTGCTGATGTCAGATGGGACTGTGAGCAAGCACCCAGTCATTTTCTGCAGTCCTTTGGGATCTCCTTATGTAATTCTTATGTAGAAAATAGATGCTGGAACAGCTGTTTTATTCATGATCATGGGGTTGCAGTTACTCTGAATGATTAGAAATGCAGTCTGCAGTCTGCCTGGGCAATTTCAAGAAATATTGTCAGTTAGAAAACTTAAGGTCCTACATTTTCTTAAGGACATGCTGGCAGGGAAGAAGATGCCTCCAAGGTACTTTTCCAGACCTCTCACCATCCCTGGGAAGGTTGCACTGTTGGACCGTGGTTCTGAGCCCAGAGTGTGGGATTGGAAGCTGCAGGCAGTCAGTGTGCCCAGCCTGTGTGCAGTGCACCTGGTAGCTTGTGTGTGTACAGTGAAATTACCTTTTATTTCCTCCCTCCACCATGCGAGCAGAATTGTGACAACATTTACATTTGTTTGCTACAGCTGAGCTGATGAGCAAGCAAAATACTTGGCACATGAGATTTTTTGAGTTTGCATTATTTTCATTTGCTTTGTCTGTCTGTGTTTAGGAGACCTAGTAATCAAGATATGGCCTTTTATCCCTGCTGATCTGTTCTTCAGTGTGCTCTCCCTCATGGGCAGACTGTCCCCTGTACTTGCACATGGCTCTCACGTTGTACTTGTTAATTTGCAGTTGCCTGAGAAACCTTTACCACGTTGGTGTGCAGATTCTCAGGGCACTTAAATCTTCTTAAGGGAGTATCTTACCATTCTCAGCAACGTTTGCCAAAAAAATCGCTGACAAATACCAGTTGGGAAATTCCAACTTTATCTTTTCTGGTTCGTAAGTAGTTCTCATTGCTACAGCTTCTAACCATCTCTTAGGGTTTTTTTCACAGCCATTCTTTTGACTGTAGCACACAAGGAAAACAGTATTGTCCCCATTTTAGACAGGGCAGAAGTCTGTAGTTTTAGAGGCTAAATTCTGTGGACTCTACACCTTGTGATTGGTGAATGCTCAGAGCCAGCTAGTAGTAAGAATGAGGCAGTGATGGGGTTAGTCTTGGATAATTCTGGGACTGAATAGCTTGCCAGAGGTTACAGAGAGGGTCTGTGGTAAGGCAAGGGGCTGAATATATGTCTCTGACAAATGTCCTCTTCACTGAATTATCCTCCTTCTCATCAAAGTGTTCCAGTGTTTACTGAACTGGCACCAGAGGTTTTACACCATTAAGGCTTTTCAGTTCCAAAATCAAGCATCACGTAAAACTTTGTTTCTGATGAATAAGATACTGAACAACGTCAGTGGCCGTGAGAATTCATAGCTCACCAGAATCTGCAGACGTGTATCAAAACATTGGATTGTATTCCGAGGCTTGCACAAGCTCAGAAGCAGCGTTCTCAGATGGGCTCGTCTCTGGCACTTGGCCACCTCATCACACAGGGCCCTCTGTGAGGGCTGCTACGTTCTGCTTATCAAAACAGGAAGGAAAAGATGTGATGCCAAAGAGGATGCAGGTCTCCAGAAAGAATGAAAAATGAGATGCTGGCAGGAAGGGGGAGTGGTAAGTGCCGAGGCTCATTTGTCCAGTCTGATTCTAATCTCGCTGTCTGCAGCCCGTGTCCCCTTGCCAGATTAGAAGCACCCATTTTACCTTTTTCTCTTGAGTTCTTGTATCTCAGGGCTTGAAAACATTCTGCAGTGGTCATCTTGGCTGACTCTTTTAGTGTCTTCTAAGAATGATGGCAGTTTTGTTAGTTCTCTGTACAAGCTTATTTATATTTCAACACAAAGAACAGGAATTCAGTTGTCACGCAGTTTTTTCTAAAAATGTCTGGGAACAGACATCAAATCAAAGTCACCTGTCTTCTTCTTGGGAACAGGAAACTCTTCAAGTCAAGTGAGTAATAAGAGCTGTAGTTACGCTGGGCTTCTGGGAGAGGCCCTGTCTATATCAGGTCCTGGCCATGTGCTTTCTTTCCCTGATGGACGGCAGTGATGTGACAATAGAGCAGCTTCACAAATGTGACTGGAGCCCCTTGGGAGCGACTTGCCTCTGGTGAGCACACTGACTTTTGCTGCTTGCAAACCATCCTGAACGATGCAAAGCAAAGTAGATGTTATGGTGAGAGAATGCTGGCGTGCTGAGGTGCCACGTCTGTGGGCTGTGTGTAGGAGTTTCACTGTCACCCTTGCCAGCTCCCAAAAACTGAGCTCAGTCTTGCTGAGCTCCAAATCAATTGACAGTAAGCAGAGTGTGGTGGGTTATGAAAGGAAATGCTGTGGTTTAAGATGTTTGCATTTTATTATTTCATTCATGGATGTTAGGAATGTAAACAGTTAGTGCATGGGAATTTGGCAATCTAATGTTTAGGATAGATTTGGTTAGGCAATACTGTACTGGGCTGCTGTGTGAATTCATGTTGTCTGAGTCATAATTATTATTTGGGTTTACAGTGGTTATACTGTAGTGTCTTTTGAATTTACAGAACAGTGCTTTATCAGAAGTAAGTTCCAAAGGAAAAATCATTGTGCACAAAAATAGCTATTTTATAATGTTATATAAGATCTCATTTTGTTCTTTATGAAATACTGATTAATTAACTGCCTGAGAAGGTGTCATATTTCCAAATACATTTTTCAGGTAAACCTTCTCTTTCAATAGCATAGCAGGGTAATATCTATTTCACAGACCTAAACAGTCCCCACCAGATTTCTTCTGATTACTGTTTAAGTCTTTGGGCTCATGTATGCTGTTCTACACTAACAGAGGCCTCTGACAAATGTATACATCCACTTCTGTTGCATTTTCCTTTGGAAGTTGCCTTTTACCCTGTTGATTTCAAGTCTGTTAAACCAAGGGCTGGGTTTTCCCATTATTTCCAGCCAATTTCCATACTTGTTGCAAATAGAACAGTCTCTTTGAAGAATTCCAATAATCTTAGCCTTGCACTTAAAAGGCAGAGCCTTTTGCTATTGCTTGTTTCCTCAGGACTGGAGCTAATAATAGTACATACCCAGGATCTTTCCTGTGTTTTGTAGAAACATGTTATTAACAGCTCATCTTCTATGATGCTAGTCACATGTGCATCACGTGTGCTGTATAATCACCAGAAGTTTCATTGATCCTAAATACTGGGAAATGCTGTCATAAAATTATGACTACACTTTACATTTTTTGTTAGAAAAATGCTGTTGTAACAGGATGTGTCAGTTAATTGCAAGGATACACAAATGATGCAACTCCGTAAGGTTTTCTTTTCTTAAATCAAGGGAAGAGCAACTTTTTTGTCATTAAAGAGAATTTAAGGAAAATTAGTTGGAAATTGCAGAAAATATCGGTGGTTTATTCTAGAAAAAAAAATGAGGGATTTTGCAGGTCAGTTTGGGGTTTGATGCCACACTGTGACCTGGTTTCCTTGTCCAGAGTGTATTGACTTTTCCGAGACTAAGGCTGATTTGTCCTGGAGGCTATGTAGCATACCCAAGAAATTCAGCCTGTAGAATAGAATGTGAGCATAAGGCTGCTTGAAACATGCCATTTTGTTTAAGTCCTCTTTAGAATAAGAAGCAAAGTTGCTAAACCTGGAAGACTTCCTCTCAGGAATAATTTCTGCAGAGTTCTCTTCGAGGCAGGCATACAAATTCAGAAGCATTAAGATTACTTCGCTGTTAGCACAGTTTGGATGAGAGTTCTTTGCTGTAGCGCCCTGAGATTTTGTTTTCTGGGAGGGAGGTGGGTTTTGTCACAGCTCGGGTCAAAGCCTGCTAACAGAGTTAACTCAGTTGCCAGCCAGGTAATGGCACAGCAAAGCAGGCATGGAGGAGGTGGCTGAAAATACATGGAGCTCATACTTTGTGTGCTTTGAGGGAGAGGTGCTGAAAAGCTCCTTTGTTGTGCACACTGTTGGCCTTGGAGACACTTAAGTCTCTGTGGATGTGTCAGAGAACAGGGCACACCACTGTGATGGCTCTTTATGGCCACAGTTGATCTTACTGTGATATTGTGTTGATGCTGCCCATGAAGAGGAGCTCCTTGTGCAGAGATTGATGGGGAGTGGCAGCTCAGCTTTCATGCAGCGGGCAGCTGAAGCAGCTTTGCAAGGGTGCTTTGCTGGCAGTGCAGAAATTCAGCCCCCTCTGGCTGCTCCCTGAGGCTGGCCTGTGTTCCTCGTGTTGCCCCTTGGAATGGTCAGGGAGGCATTGCTCACATCTGGCTGCAGTGACTCAGGGTTTGGGAATCAGCAGGTGGAATGTCTTGGCAGTGTCAATGGTACACGTGGCTGCTGTCACCGAAACTACGGGAAAAACAAAAACTCTCCAACAGCAATCTTTAGTGCTAGAGAAGTAAGGCATTACTTTATTCTTGCCAGGATGTTGTTCTGGCCAGGATATGCAACAGAAACCAGTTCATCCACACATTGCCCTGGTTATGCAGAGAAACTCATTCCATCACACAAGTCTTTGTTAGATTTTTCACATTTGTCAAAACCCAGAGAAATTCATTGGTTCAATGTTCGCTGCTCCCAAGGTATTTAGTATTTGGTTTCATATTGGTTATTGGTTTGCCTTTAATGTTGATTAGTTTCTCATTCTTCATTCTCTTATCTGTCCCTTCCCAGACCAGGAGTCTTGGACCATGCCAGGGGTGATGTTTGGAGTTGACATTCGTTAATGGTTGTTATCTCTTCTGTATCTTCTTTTTTCTGTGCTGCTCCCAGTCTGCTGAGATGTTAAGCTCATCAGACCTGGAGTGGTGGAACAGTCCTTTGAAAAGAAACTTCAATTCATTTCCCCCTGGGTAAAGGCAATCAAAACGCCTGACTAAAGTTATATTAAAAAATGCTAAACTTCATATAATTTCCAGCACTGGGAACTATGACTTGGACAGAAGAAAAATCCTTGGGGTGTGGGTAATGGTAATTCATTCTTTCATAAGGTTCATTCATTGGAGTTGGCCAATAAGTTGTAAGCAGAGACTAAAACTTCTTTTGAATTGATTGGAATAATGGTGCTCAGCAAAGGAGAGTGTGAATTTCTCAGGCGGAGCAAAAATTCCAATGTAACAATTTAGGAAAGTGATGCCTGCAATTCTTTGAAAATGCTGCTGCACTGAATTGCCTGCCCTGAGTGGGACTCAGGCTCGTACCTTCAGGACAGCTGTGAAGAGTGTTCTCACTTGGACACCAAAGCTGGTTTTGCTTCATAAGCCAGGGTTTTTGTTTGTTCTGATGTGCAGGGGTGGTGGTGGCGATCGCTGCATCACTGCAAACCTTTTATTAGGTTCCCTCCTGGCAGGAGAGGGGGAACCCTGCTGGGGTTTATAGGCTGGCATGGTGTGGCATGACATGCAAACTTGATGCATGGGCAGCAAAGAAGTGTTCAAGAGAGCAGCCTTTGCAAATTTCATGGTTGGTTTCTGCTCAACAAAATGTTTCCCTAAAGTCTGGCTAGCAAATTCTGCATTTCTCAGGATATAACCTTAGTGCTAATCTTACCTACCTTAAAATGAGTTTTTGCTCTCATACCCAGAATTAGATTGGTGTTCTACCTAAGCTGAAGGGGGTTGCAAGGCAATTCTTTTTTAATTGAATTGTTGTGTTCAAGTGGAGGCCAAAACCTAATGTGAAAAGCAGCCACCCACTCCCTTCTTGCTTCATTGCTTTTCATCCTCCACAGTATCGTAATGCTGGCTTAGTGTCCCTTCTGAAATAAAACTCTTGCTTGTGGAATTCTTCTAATTTTTTTATTTTTGAGAAGGTAAATGCTATGAACAGCTAAATAATTTAGTTCTTGTAAGATGTATAATGCACAGAGTTTGCAAATTTATTCCATTTAAATGAAAAAGCTAGCCAAACTGGAAGGTTTTGTACTGGCGCAAAACAGGAATTACTCTTCCTCTGAGAACCTTTATACGTGGCCCCAACCCTTACTTGTTCCTTTGCGAGGGGAAGTCCAGATAGGATGCGATTTTACAAAAAAAGAAAAAGTTTGTAATCTCTGGTGACTAAACTTGCCCTGGCTTCTTTTCCACGCCTCTTCCACTCACTTGATGTCATACTATTTTTGTCCCTTTCTAGCTCATTGACACAATTGCCTCAGAAATCGGAGAACTGAAACAGGAGATGGTACAGACAGATCTCACAGTGGAAGATGAATCTGCTGATTGGCAAAGGTGATTAAAATGTTTATTTTCATGGTTCTGGAGAGTCTACCACAACAGGAATGTTTTCATTGTGCTTTCTTCTTGGGTGGCTTATGTCCTAGCACTTTTCTCCCTGGCAGCATAGGAGGTGTAGATAATCTTACTCTTGATCCAAGGAATTTGCCTCTATACAGGAGATTCATTGTTTGGTGTATTTGCCTTAATATCTTCTAATTGCAACTGAGCTTCACTTCCTTGTTAAAAACCTTGGGTACTGATGAATGTCTAAAGCAGGAAACTACTACCATTATTACCATTGTCTGTGGCACAGCTTTGCTTTCACGCTGTAAAGACAAAATGTCCATTGCTTCAAGTGGCTCTTTGAAGACTCAAGATGCAATAACATGACTTATTTATGCTGTCAGGTTAGGAAGTAAAATATTGAATGCTATGAGCTGATGCATATGTGGGTTATGTGTTTAAGTTAATTTATATATGAGTAACTTGCACATGAAAAAAATAAAATTGTACCTTTAAGTGGGCAGAATGGGAGCCCAGCATTTTGGCTTTTCTTGAACAGTTACATCTGCTAAACATCTGGAGGATAATCAGTATTTTAGGCCTTGTGTTAAGAAGAGAACACATTTTTGCACTTACCTGAAATATTTGTTGCAAGAGGAAAGCAACCAGTGGTAGGTGTTGTGTTTTATCTGACTGCATGGTCTTGGCCAGCCCTGGAGCTGGTGGACTTTGTTCTTCTAGCAGTGAGTTAATGAAGTGGAAAACTGTTTTTAGAATTATATCCAAGATTTTTAGCTCTTTTTCTTCCAGTGAATTTTATTGAAATCTGCTAGAACTTAAAACAAAGCATATGTAGATTATTTTCAAAAACATTAAGCAGCAGCTTTGTTGGCCAAGTAGTAAAGAATGTAAGACAGTTGAACTAATTAAACTTCTTGGCTATGGCCCTGGTTGAACATTACTCCAGTTTTAAAGCTTTTGAGAACACAGTTCTTTTAGAGGGGCAGAAAGGACACTTTCTTCATTTTGTGAATTCAGCTAATTAACTTCAGCTACTTTTCAGTTAAGAAGATGCTTCTTATATCTTTGAATACATCATATTCATGAAAGACTAAGGTCTGCTGATTCTAAAATCTTGGTGGAAGCACTTAGCTGGAACAGTCAACTAAACCTCCCCATTTTACAGATCATGAGTTTTCTTTCTATTCATTTTTTAAATGGATTTTCAATCTTAATTTGTTCATCTTGACTGCAAAACATATTTTGATTTAAGATATGTAAGTAAACCTATCATGAAAAAGTGAATAATGCAATTTCCATGAAAAATAATAATAGCCATCAAAAAGTTATTTTTTGTCACTTCAAGATGATAATGTGAAATATGAAGTCTGAATAAATGAGCTAAAGTCAAACCTACTATGACTACAAAATTCAGAACTGCATGCTTCTATGTAAGGAAGAAGTTGTATCAAAGTTGGTAAGTTAAGTAATGTAGTTGTGCACTGACACCTTTTTTTTTTTAATATAGTGGTACAGAGCAAGATTATAGTATTTTCAACAAGAGCTTTCTGGAGTTCTTATTTAAACTAGACACCTCACAAGGCTGTGTTTACTGTCATAACTTTATTTCTTCGTAGTTAATTTAAAACTTGGCAGTTAATGGAGTTTTCTCTTATTGCTTTCTGCAGTTCAGAGTTGGTGTCTTGATAGGACCTTTGGATTTGCATCTAGGGATATTTGAGCTCAATGGAATGTCCGTTTTCTTTGCTCTTTTTCCACCTTAGCAGGTATCCACAGACACCCAGAGCAGTTCTGGAAAGGCAGGCATTGCAGAGGTTTTGGCTGAATTCAGAAAGATAAGGACATGAAATTGTGTGTCTGCAGCCTTAGTATTGTGGTTTGGGTTTTTTTGTGGTTATGTGGTGACTTTCAGATTTATACTCCTCATCTTATATACTCCTTTCTTTTGGGCTCATTTCTCCTTTTCATACAGTATGGCCCAAGTAATATCAAGAATGAATCAAGGGTGCACTTTGGCTTGTAAATATGTAAAAGCCAGGCAAAAAAAAAAAAAAAAAGGCTTGCAAAAATGTGTTTTAAGAGGGACTGTTTCAGTATCCCACTTTGTTGATGCCTCACCTGTTTTGCAGTGCAGACATTTATCTCAATAATTCAAATGAGAGGAGTTGTCAGAAAAGGCAATTAGTGGGACAGATTTCTGTCATGCCATTCCGGTGACCTTTGAAAGAGTAACAAGAGAGCTTCTGCATGCAGTGGCAGCCCAGGAGCATGTGGGACAGGTCTGGTGGCACCTGGATGATCTTTTAGGAGGCTCCAGGCCCTTGCACATCTGTGTGGATGTCCATGAGGGGCCAACGCTTCCTGCTGTCCTTCTGGAGGGAAGGCTGTAAAGCTCCAGGTTTCGCAGGGCACTTGGTGCCTGTGGAATAGTTCAGGGATGCTTTGCTGGTGGTGGCAGCTGCAGCAGCTTATTTCCTTCCTGTTCTGTTGCCGTGGAAGGAACAGGGCAGAGCTTTGCTCCCTGCCTTAGGTCCTGCACTGCGCAGCCCTCACGCTGCTGTCTTTTCCAGAGCAGTTACTCGCTTCACTAGAGCCATCTTCTGTCCAGCACAGAGAACCATTTCTGTTACTGCTGACAGGCTGGCAAGTATCCAGAAACCTTCTTCCCAGCTGCCTTGCCTTGTCCTTTTAGCTGTAATGGGATGCAGGAGGAAGTCACCAGTGGCTCTCTGCCTCTCCCAGCTGATGCTCAGTATGACTGTATAGACTGGGCTGGGGTGATTAGGAGCTGTTAGATTTACAGAAATCCAGGCATTTTGCAGTGGATAGTCAAACTGAGTTAACTGTGAGGTGGTTAACTGTTGTGGGACTGGAGTCAGGTTCACATCATGACCAAGGATCATTCTGGTTAAAAGCTTGAGCCTGATCCTTGTCATTTTTACTGTGAGCTAAGTCTAATCAGGATGCAGCACTGCATTGTTTATCTTGGCAATTACCTCTCTGTATGGGTTTGCTCAAATCTAAGGAAACTTGCATGAGTCATGTGTTTTCTTTAGTTCATTGTGAATAGTGTTGAAACCTACCTTTCCCACAGAAGAGGAACTGTGTAGCAGCTTTGAATTAAAGCAGACCATTCATTAAGGCTGATTTGTGTTTTGATTTTGAGTTTAATGTGACCTGGTCAGACTGTCTTTTATCAGGAATCTTTCTTTTTTTCAAAATCCCAAACGAATAACACAAGCCAACCAACCAAACATCCTCCAACCTGAAAGTAAAACCAGGAGAGGAATTTAGTTGTTGCATAATATACATATTTTGTGAGCATATTTTGCTAGCATTTAGGTTACAGCAACTTCTTATTCTTGTTAGTACATTTGAGTTAATCCATGGCTCATGAATTCAAATGGTTATTCTTTCCATGCAATTGTTTCCAGAGTAGTTACACGCACATCCCAGTCCCAAATAATTTTAGTCTAACTCTTAACATATAATGAGTTTCGAGAACTCCCGTGCGTTGTCAGGGTTTGACTGTATGTCTATTGCTCAGATCATTAATTAAAATTATTTTAAGAAAAAAAAAGCAATCTAGGAATATGATGTTCAGTAGTGCTAGGCCACTGCAAATAGGCTGTCAAAACAGACCAGTGAGGATTTTTTACTGCATTTTCTCCCAGGCCTTGGGAAGTGGCTTCTTGTAGGTTGCATGTGGTTTGCCAGGTGTGTTTTTTCCAAGGTGTGCTTTTTCCAGAGTTTACCAGGTTAGATGTTTCTCTCTGCCTCCTTCTTTATTATTTGGGAATAGGAAATAATTGTTTAAAAGTGTTTTGTATTCCTGTTTACCTCACCACAGATTGCAATAACATTCTAGCGCTGATTTATCTGAGTTGCATTGGTGTTGTTTGAACCATTAGTGTTTAGGAGTGGCAGAAATTCTGGTCATGATCAGATATTCATAATCTCTGTCTTATTTCTTGTGGGAGCAGAAGCAGCTGCCCCAAGGAGGTGCCTGTGTATGCAGGTCAGAGTTTCCTCCTTGGATCTCAGAATGTGGGAGGGATTGTGCATGTAAATACCTGGAGGTTTGAAAAACCTGATAGCCCCCCATTCAAGTTTATGGTGGTCTAGGGGGTGTGGGACAGCACAAAGCCAGTCAAACCAAAGAGGAGCATCATGACCCTACGTGCCTGTGTGAACTCTTGCCAGGTTTAGGTGGTTTTGTGGTAGCAAGCAATGCCAGGCATTCTAGCTCATACCAGTCACACACCTTCTTTTGAATGTGAGGTAGCTGTCTTCAGTAGGCAAAAAACTTTTCCCTCTTGGATATATTCCCCCTTGCAGCATGTTAAGTTTTCACCTCCTGACCAAGGGGAGTGGAAATGATTTGTATCTAAGCTTGCAGGCAGCATTGGTGTGTAACTCGTACCTTCCCACAGCTCCCTGTGTTTGTAATGCAGCTAACTGGCACTGAGGGTGAGTGGGGAATTTCTGAGCAATATTTACTGGAGGTACAGCTCAGGAAAATGCTTTTGTGGTTTATGATTTGACTTCTTGGAGATTCATCCATTGTGACACTGGGCTCTGCTGGGACTGGTTGAAAAGGGAACCCAGTATTCCTACTGAGGCAGTTTCAGACCCAGTCTGAATGACTGATGTAAAAAGTACTTCCCTCTTGCCCCCACTGTGTTTCTGTGTATTTTGTGTCCCTTGAAGGCATACTGGCAGTCAGTAAAAGCTTCTAATGTTTGTGGGCAGGGGTGGGAAATCATCTGCATTTGAGATACCTTGGAAATCTGACAAGCATTGCATCATAAGTAAGAAAACAGAAAGAGGAAAAAATAAAGAGGCAAACGCTGGTAGTGGTAATTGATCCAGGTAATGAAATGTCAAATGATTTTGCCTCCTCTTATCTGGTCATACAGTCAAAGTTCTCTTCCCCATTTACTTTCCTTGCTTGCCCTGTGCAGAGATTCTGCAAGTTGCTGAACAAAGCTAGAATAAAGCAGTTTGATTGTTTGGTATTTTTCTGTTGTTTGGTTGGTGGATTTTAATTTGGTTCAGCTTCTTTTCTTTGGTGTGGTTTTTTTTGGGGGGGCAGAGAGGCTTTTTGTTTGTTTTGAAAGTAGGCAGTGCTCCTGTTCTTGTGAACTCTGTACTTGCTGAGGGTACAGTAGCTGGCATAATGAGGATGGTAAATGCTGTTAGTGATGCTTAGGGCTTGTCCAAAGCATGGAATTCAGAAGAACTGCACAGTGTGCAGTGGGGAAGTGGAGCTGTGTTGTCCTCTGCTGCCCAGGGCCTCTCCTGCTGCAGAAAAGGTCTGAAAAGGGAACACATCCTCTGCTGACAGCTCAGGGAGTCATTCGAGCTTGCAGGGTGCTTTTTGTCTGTTCCTGAATTTTGTCATCAGGAAGCTGTTACCAGAATAACTGCTCCATAGTGATTTCTAGCATGGGGAGAACCACAGGGTGTGGTTCAAAAATGTGGTTCTAGCTCAAAAATGAGGAATTTGAGCCAGCAACACTACTGGGTGTTCTGTATTATATGGATGATGGTGAAGCTTTGCATAACAAAAGGAGTTCTCAAAGTATTCTGTTTATTTGGATTTTTAGTAACAAGAATCTGCAGCCCTCAAGAACTCTACTTCTTTACTGAATGTAGCAGTAACTTTAGATGCCCTGCTCCAAATAAATTTTAACCTTACATTACCTTGCCTCATTCACACTTAGCTTAGACTTTATTTCTCACATAGCAGTCAATCCACAGCCAAAGGAATTTGGAGCATAAATATACAATTACTTATTTGTTTCTGATCCTGGGAAGTGTAGTATTAAAATGTGAGGTAAGGACCTTTCATGGCAAAAATGGAAAAAAAAGTAAATATTTACTGAACTTAGGAGTATGATAAGAAGTGACTGCCACTTATGACATATTTTTTAAGGAAGCTGTGCCTTAGGGAGGATTATTTGGGGGTTTAACTTTTTTTTCTTGTTTCTTTCTTGGGTTTCTCATCTCTTTCTCATCTCCTTCCAATCTGACCTCTTAGCAGAGGGGAGAAAAGATGGATATGCAGCTGTGAAGGCAGCAGAGCTGCTGGAGCAGAGAGTAGTCTGGGCATAAGGTGAAGTGATGCTGGTTTCTGGACTTGTGTTGTAAAAATAATCCCTCCAAACAGACAGACAAAGTTCTTGTGTGTGGTGCAGTGATCACCAGTAGGTAGTGGGTTGCTCCATTGTCAGAGTATTGAACAGATTTTTCTGGCAGGCAAGATTTCTGTGGGTTGCAGCATTTGCAATTGATCTGGGAATAAAAGTGTCTGAATTGCATAAATATCCTTGAAGAGAAGTTTTTCCATATATTAGCACAGCAAAGAAGGCAAGTGAAATGTTCTTTCAATCACATCTGCGCATGCAAATCTACCTGAAGTGGAGGCTGAATTTCTCCAACCTCACAGAGGAATGCTAAGGCTTATCTTCAAGCTGGCTTTGAATTGAGAACCTTTAAAAGAGAATTTTTGTGTATGCTAAATATAAGAATTCTCAGTAGGAGAAGTACCAGCCCAGAGTGTCAGCAGTGCCATGAGCTCTGTGGTAATTCTGTTCTCTGGCCTAAGTGATTGTTCATAGGAGGTTAGCATGTCTAATTTTTTTTTTCTAAATTTTCCACAGTCTAATAAAGGATATGGATGATGTCTCTCCTGAGAAAAATGATGTAAAAAGCTGCCCCCGGGACTCTGGATATGACAGCCTATCCAACAAGCTAAGCATATTGGACAAGCTCCTCCATACTCACCCTGTGTGGCTGCAGCTTGGTCTGAACGATGCTGAAGCCATGGAAATTTTGCGGACACAGCCTCCTGGGGTAAGAATCTTAAGTTTCTTTAAGGACATGCTTTTCCCAAATGTTATGCTGCCATTTTACACCCAGGTGTTGAACTCAATACAGTAATGACCAAGTAAAACTACAGTATGTTTTAGAGCAGATATCATGAGCTTGTTGTGGTTCCTTTTTGTCTATAATTTGTATTTATTCTGGCATCTGTGGTGAAGCTAATACCATGTCCTTCTGCCTTCCCCACAACAGATATTTCTGGTTAGGAAATCTGCAAGGCTGCAGAAGAAAGTCATCTCTCTGCGTCTGTCCAGCGACTGTGGGTCCTGCCTGAAAGAATTTGCCATTAAAGAAAGTACATACAGTAAGTTGTGAGTTACGTACTTTTCAGCTCTTCCTTAGGTACTTTTCCCCTATAGGATGCAGGAGCATTTGCACTGCTGAAAACCACAGCAGAGGATACCCAAAGTCATGCAAATCATGCCATGGGCTGCCTGTGCTGCTCTCTGAGGTGGGCTCTGGGAGTGGGTCAGGCATACTCTGCCAGGAGGAGAGCAGACATATAGAAACACTTCAGACTGCTTCAGCTGGAATGTTTCCATTGTGTACCTTGATGAATCCAGTATTCATTTATTTTTATGGGTAGTTATCCTCTTAGAAACTTACATGTCTTTTGTAGAAACATGGTCTGTAATGCTGTCTGCTTTCAGTGAAATGTCCTTGCATTTCCTTGTACTCAGGGGACTGTTCTTGAATGCAGCTTTGTCATGAGCTCTCTGCAACTGAGGTGTGGGATGGATTGTTAGGTTTGTTTTTGTTGGTGGTGGTTTTGTTGTTGGGATTTTTTGATTGTTTGGGTTTTTTTTGTGTGTGATAGCTAAATGGATTTTAACCTGTTAGAACTGTTTCTGTTGCAAGATCAATGATTTCTCTTTTTAATTCAAGTTATATTTGTTCTTTCTTTTTTAGTAGAAATGAGCAAATGTTAACACTCCAAATTGTTTTGAACCAATAATGCCTCATATCTTTAGAAGGGAGGGTGTGAAAAATAAGTTTCAGATTTAGGAATGAAAAAAAGGAAGCTGCAGCTGGTGAGTGTATGTGGTGCTGAAACTGCAAGTGGAGCAAATATTTCATTTTAACAAGAAAGAGAAAACTGGAGAAAATTAGCAACAATTTCAGTTAAACATCCCTGAAATACAGAGTCTATAGTTAACTTCTGTTTGTGTTTGTAAAGTGACATAATTTTAGTTGAGTTTTTCCTTTTTTTTTCTCTCCCTCCCCTGCACCTAGGAACAAAAAATTAATTATATGTGTCTGGTTTTAATTCCAGTTACAAGCAAGGCAAGGCAAAGAGAAAGTTATCAGTAATAGTTGATGTAAGTGTGGTCTAAGGCTGTGTTTATAGGCTTGTTATAGTAATAAATCCCATCTAGAAAATAATTACATACTGTCTTCTATGAACAAAATTCTTCCACAAGGGGGAAGTATTTACTGATGATTTTAGCCGTTTGACACAGCTGAGGTTTTAGACCAGAGGCAAAAAAATCTGGATTGTTTGACTCTAGGAGCTTCTTCTGCTTGATCTGTGAGATTTGCTACTGGCATCAGAGAGAGCCTGAGGTGATCATCATTATTATTGAGAGCAAGTATTTGTATCAATGAGGAACAATGGTATCAAGTGGGGAAAAATGAAAGGCACTGCTCCTGTCTTCCTCTTCCCTTGTGCAAGGCAATGGCATGTGACAGCTGTTGGAGTTTTTTAAGGGTTTTCAGGTTAAAAGGTTTTCTTGGAATGGATGAAAATTTATCTCCCTTTAGGTTCTACACACCTAGAGTGAAGTGAGTAGAATAGAATTGAAGAGGAGGAAATAAGATATTTAAAGTTAGGTATATTAGTACACTGGGCAAAAAAAGCCTCAGTTATTGATTTGTTGTCTATTAGCAAAACATTGTGCAGACCTCATCACACTTAATCTGTTTTACAGGAATTAGACCATATCCTTGGAATACAAAAGCAGACCAGCCACCAAGATTATCAGTATTTTCTTGAAAATGTCTTCAGCAGGAATATGTACTCCTCTACAGAGTTGTTTTCTCTTAATCAAATAGTAGCTAGTTTGATGGTGAAAACTTACTAACTTCATGCTAAAATCTAAGATATATTTTATTAAACTGTTTTAAGAAACAGTGGATTAATGTGTGATTGTTTCTTGTAACTTTCTTTGCAGCGTTTTCCTTGGAGGGGTCTGGAATAAGTTTTGCTGATTTGTTCAGACTCATTGCTTTCTACTGTATTAGCAGGTAAGGTGGTGCTGTGTTCCAAGCCACATCTGCTAGACCATCTCAAGAAAATGAATTTTGGGGAGTTGGTTCAGCTATTGATGCTATTTTTGTTGCCAGTCTGCAAATACTCCTGGATAGCCTAGAAGGTAATGGTAGAGATCAGAGATGAGTTTTGGAAGCAAGTGTCTCTGTCTTACTTCATCCTGATTATTGGGAGGCTGGTGTGATTTTACCCACCCAGCTGTGAGGTGCTGCCAAGCTGAACTTTACTTTAGCTGATATCTTGTGATGCTTTCTTAAGTGCTCTGTAGCTCATGTAAAAACAATCATAAACTAGCTTGCAAAGTCCATTTCTTGGAATTGCTGGTGAGAATAATTTTCGGAGCATAATAGAAAAATGTGAGATATGTAGAATATGACAACTAAGAGATGTCAGTTTAAATGGGGAATGACAAAAACGGCCTTGTCAGCTTTGCAGTTCATGGTTGCCAAACTTGTTTTCCTGGTAGTATGCAGAAAAAAAGTAGCTGGTGTTTTTATCCTTTATTTTCAATTTGACTTCATTTTACTGGTGAAAATTTCCAGGCTGATGCTCGAGCCTTGTATGTACACACAGACAGGACACAACCCAACTGCCCAGGTGCACATTTTCTGAAGGAAGTGAGGAGAGACAGCTGTGATAGTCTTGGTCCTTTTACTGCATCAAGGCTCCTGTTCATGCTGACCATGTGATGATTTCTGGTGTGGGCTGGTTTTGGGCTGCTGTGCTTGCTGGTCTTGTTTGTGGTGGAGAAGCATCTTGGATCCTTTTGCTACAGCCTCTGTTTAGCTGAGTTGTATGTGCATGTAACAAAAGCAGCATTGATACCACATGGGTAATTGGTCAGAACTCAGAAGAGAAATTAGCTGAAAATGCGTTTAAACATAGTTTATTGAGGAGATGTAAAAGCAGCATTGATACCACATGGGTAATTGGTCAGAACTCAAAGAGAAATTAGCTGAAAATGTGTTTAAACGTAGTTTATTGATGAGATACTCCTTATCTTGTCACCCTTTCAGTCCTGCCTGCTTGCCAGGCTCTGGTAAATTCTAACTACCCACAGGGTCATTCAATCAGCAAACAGAGATTTCTTGCATTAGTCTATCCATTTTCTTTCACCGAAGGTTCAGTATTGTTTTGTATAGACTAAAGGGGGCAAATAGGTAGCTATTGTGAAAAAGAGACAGTACCATTTGGTACATCACAGGAAATCCAGGAGGATTTTCTAAAACCAGAGGGAGTTTCTGGCAGGAGGTACCCAAGCAGTTTTTATGAGGGTTTACCTGTTTTTGACTTGCGACCGTGGTGATGATCTGGACTCTGGATTTTCTGTGGTACCATGTGAAGTGCCTTTCAAATGCTTTTCAGCTAGTGTATCAGTCTTGTGCATATGCTTGGCTTGAGTGTGAGTGGAATTCTGAGATCCTGTTTTTTCAAGAAGATAACATAAAACATAGAGAATATTTATGTGATAAAGACCCACTCTGTGTCTGTGCTGGAGCAGATGGCTGGCTTGTTCACAACGTTAAAACCAAAATTCATGCTGACACCAGTTGTGTAGGATTCTCATTTAGTCTTAGTTCCATGGATACTTCTACTACAGATGTTGCTGTTTAGCAGCATTTAGTTAGAATAAAATTCTTATTCTGAAAACTGGAATAACAGTCAAGAATGTATTCAGAAAGTGAGAAGCTTTTTTGAAATGTTAGGGCAGGTAACAAGTTTGCATCTCACTGATCTGCTTGTAGAAGACCAGGTGTAAAAGCTTCTGTTGGAAAGGCAGAAAATACTGGATGGCTCTGTGGAAATGATCCTAGGGAAAGTCCTGGGCACTTGACTGTCATTTGCCCTTCACACCACTGTGCAATGTAAAGGAGCTGTGGGGTTGGTAAAGTAATGTTTAACTGTGCTGTGTGTTTAAGGATCTTGCTTCCTGACACAGCTCAAGAAGATAATCAGAAATCAGAGACTGCCAGTGTTTTTAGAAAAAAAGCTTTTCAAACTATGGATGTTGCTGAAAACCATAATGGTTTTTCTCTTTGGAAACAGGGATGTCCTTCCATTCACACTGAAGTTGCCTCATGCAATTGCTGCAGCAAAGACAGAAGCTGAACTTGAAGAGATTGCTCAGCTTGGACTGAGTAAGTAGTTCTCTACAAAGATGTCTTTTCCTGTAGCACACCTGTAACACTGAAGAAATAGGCTGTATCAGTAAATAGTTCATACTGGTTAGTGATGATACAAACTTTTGTATCATCTTGTTTAGAAAAGCAGTTTCTCTTATTTGGGAAGGCCAGACCTTCTTCTGGCCAAGGAGTGGTGCTCTTCCTTCCTTCTGTGCCTTCTGTGGTATTTTTGTTAGTGCTGTTTCTTCCTTCTTCTCTTCCCTCTCTGGGCAGCCTTTGGGCAAAGCAAATCTCACAGTCCCCACACAGAGGCTGATGTGGCTTCTGCTCCAAGACCTAACGTTGTCTGCATGCTCACAGAGCACTGGCTGTGTGAGGCTATATAAAGCACTGGCTTTATTATTTATTGTGAGAAGAGTGTATGAGCTGAGGTCCTCTGTTGATAAAACTTCTGTTCAGATTGACATAGAAACTTAAAGTGGTGACTTTTGAGATCAGTGCCTCAATGAAGTGGCATATTTAGGAAATGAGTGTATATATGATGGTGTAGAATGTATCCATAGGCAGAGTGTTAGGTGAAATTTTAAAAATACCTTTAAATAAAAGGGTGTCCTTGCATCACTTGCTTGCTTCAGCCAAACACAGGCTCATTGTAAAGCATACCTTGAGCTCAGGGGAGGTGGATGCAAAGCCTCCTGGGATTTGCAACTTGGGCACCACCCAGATGAATCATTAAGCAGCTCTGTATTGAGCAAAGTGCTGAGTGGCTTCATTTCCTTCTCCAGGAAGGGAAGGTTGACTGTCAGCAACCTTTGTTGCAGTAGAGTTTTTTAATAATCTTTGATTTTGAAAAGGATCCTCTCTAAATCAGTGTTAGCATGAGGATCTCTTGAACTGTCTGGTGGGACTTCGCAGTACAACCATACCCAGGGATGTATTGCTGTGCTTTGCATTTTGGTTTGCTGCAGTAGCAGTGCAATTAAAGGGTTTGTTTTAGATAGGAGAGAAATTACTTCTTCACTGCTTGTCTGCAAGTTTAGGTAATCAGGTGCAACTATGGATTATCATGGGAATAGAGGCAAATATGGTACTCTGTTTAGATGGGAAAAAGAAAGTAAAAGGTCTGACTGGGATACAGTGTAATGAAGACAGTCTCCCAGTGACACATGGAAGCCTTAAAGTAACATGAGGTGAGTCTCTCCAGAGGGGACAATAATGGTAATGTTGATCAAGCTCTCCAGGCTGACCACACTTTGTCACCAGTACCCCAGAGCACTGTGGCCTACTTGCTGCAGGATTAGTCTTGCTCTTCAATAGCCTCTGCGTTGTGTATGTTTTTTCTGTAGCTACTACATTTGAAAGCTGATGGATCAGTGTCTGTGTAATTGCTGTATTTGGGATCAATTACCTGATATACACCAGATGACAGTTTCCATGAGCTAAAAGCAGGCAACAAAGTCGAGATTTTGATGGAGTTTTAGCTGTCCATGTGCAGAAGAGCACACCAGAAAGTCAGCCTTTCAATGCTGTGGACTCAAGAGAGGCCTAAAAACTCCCAACAGCCCTTCCTGTTAAGTGTGAGTCTTCTTTGAGGAACGTGTAAGCACAGAACCCTGTGGTGTGTGAACACAGGGCTGTATCCCCTGTCACAGCTCTCTGGTGCAGTAGGCTCAGAGGGAGAGCTGCACAACACAAGTCAATAGCACATAGCCCAGCAAACCACATCAGGAGGAACTTCTGGTAAAGTTTTCAAGGCTGTTGCCAACCTGCAAGGTTTCATGTGCTGAACACACGATTCTCTCTGAGTCTCCCCTGTTGTTTCACCTGCAGGGTGCTTACATCATGTGTTTTTGCAGCAGCCACGTGCCAGGCACAGGCACTGAGAGGTCTGCAGGCAGGATGTGAAGTCATGAAGCTGGGAGCACCAGCAACATGGCATAACTATGCAGAGAAACGTGCCTGTGCCTATAGACATTCTCTGGCATGGCCTGTCACCGTGGGCTATTTCCTGTCTTCTGCCCCGCAGGCAGGACCTGGCTGTTGGCATGGACCTGTTGTGGATGCTTGGCATTCGTGCACTTGGGCCCAGGTATCATTGCTCAGTTGCTTCCAGTGAGCCATCTTGACACACTATGGGAAAAGGACCATGTCAAGATTGGCAAATTTTAGCTAAATCTCCCTCCTTTGGTATTATGCCCTTATTTCAGCATGATTGCTGCCTTCAAGGGCGCATCTGGTTTCAATCTTCATGCCTTCAGGCACCGATGCTCTTTAGCAGTGACTCGGTTGCACAAACATGCTGACACTTGTCTGGGATAAGTGCAGAGGCTGCAGCTGCAACTTGCTGCTGTAGCATAGGTTTTCATGCTGCTGGTGTGGGACTGCACACTGGGTCATTTATTTGTCTCTGCAATCTGTATTCTCAGGAAAACTGTCCCCACAGCAAAGGCAGGGCAGCAAGCCAGTACCTTCATTAGACACTTGAATGCTTGGTCTGCCTTGCTAAAGGTGATGTGTGCATCCACCACAGCAAAATGTGAGCTGCCTTTTTGTCTATAGTTTCATGTGTTCACTATGAAAAGAAACTGAACCAAGATACTTGTAGAGTTTCTGGAAGTGGCCTTTAGCTGGTGTAAATCGGCTTAACTATTGTCTTTAATGAAGTGAGCTTATTAATACCAGCTGAGAATCTTGCCTTATTTCTCCTGAGTGAGATGCTAGTGAGAAGTTTGTGTTCATTTCAGTCTCAAGCCAGTAAGAAGTATTCTGTTACAGTCTCCATTCCTTTCTTTGATACTCAGTTTAATTTTAAGCTTAGTGGGGTGATTGGAAGCTGTGTGTTGGTCATGGTATTTATAAATGAGTGAGAGCAGCCCCAGGAATGTAGCATACAGTTATGTCTGGTGGTACTTTAAGAGGTTCACTTGGACTTTTTTTTTCTCCTTTTAATTAATAAAACCTTGCCTAAATTTCTCGATATTTTGAACTGGTGTTGTTGAGTTGAATGTTCTGAAATCCATCTGCATGGTGTTTTGCATTCTTACGTTAATGCAATGATGATTTTCAGACTTTTGGAGCTCCCTGGCTAACAGCAAACCCCCGGATCCTTCACCTCCCTGTAGGCCTGTGCCTTTGGACCGTGCTCGCAAAGACTCACGCCAGCTCTGCCTTATAAATGGAGTGCATTCTATACGAACCAGAACGCCTTCAGAGCTGGAGTGCAGCCAGACCAACGGAGCGCTGTGTTTCATTAATCCCCTCTTCTTAAAAGTGCACAGCCAGGATGTCAGTGGAAGTCTGAAAAGGCAGAGCCCGAGAACTCCAGACGTGAATGGCACAGCGAGGCCTCGCTCCCCCCCGCCCCGGCCACCACCTCCTGCTATTAATAGCACCCTCACGAGCCCACAGATTTCCAGGACTATAAAGCAGGCGAGCATGCCAGAAACAGTCAGCCATAAGAAGGAGAGGGGCTTGGATTTGCTGCAGAACAAGCCCACCCCGATTCCGCCTCCTCGGCTGAAGAAGCAGGCTGCGTGCTCCGAGGCAGACAGTGCCTCCAGGAGCGCGGCAGCGCTCCGGCCTGACTCCGTGTGCGTGCCCGAGGCAGCCGCGGTGCCGCGTGAAGCCCTGCCCGAGCCGGCTCCAGCAGCTCCCAAAAAGACTCCGGCTGCCATCTCTGAGTCACACATCCCGTGGAATGGAGGCAGGCAGAGACTGAGCGACATGAGCATTTCCACCTCCTCCTCTGACTCTCTGGACTTCGATCGGAGCATGCCGCTCTTCGGCTATGAGGGGGACACCAACAGCAGCCTGGAGGACTTTGAGGGGGAAAGTGACCAGGAGAGCATGGCACCCCCTTTGAAGCCCAAGAAGAAAAGAAGCAGTTCGTTTGTTCTCCCCAAGATTGTGAAATCTCAGCTACGGAAAGTCAGTGGAGTTTTCAGTTCCTTCATGACCCCTGAGAAGAGGATGATTAAGAAAATTGCAGAGATGTCCCGGGATAAACGCACCTATTTTGGATGCTTGGTACAGGACTATGTCAGCTTTCTCCAAGAAAACAAGGAGTGCCACGTTTCGAGCACTGATATGCTGCAAACAGTTCGTCAGTTCATGACCCAAGTCAAGAACTACTTGTCCCAAAGCTCCGAACTTGATCCCCCAATCGAATCACTGATTCCTGAAGACCAAATAGGTAAGAAACACTGTCCTGTGTTTTGGGGGGAAGGTGAAAATGTGTAATCTGTGTTTACAGCGATAGTCTTTGTCCAGTTCAGGAAGGTGGGGCTAACTTGGCTAGTAGAGCTTGAACCACCAAGTATTTGAGTCTTAAAACAACCTCCCCCTCCATTCCCCACCCCAAATCACACTGTCAGCTTGGAATGATTACACTACAAAGTTGTTCATAAGAAGTTATCTTTAAAATAGGTGCAATGCAGACTTTTTTTACCTGTGATTATAACTTTTTTTACCTGCTCTACTGTTGACAATAGCGAATCCTTTATTTGCTGGCACACATGTTTTTTTCTCTGAACTGGACTGATAGAGTTCGCAGGGGTTGGTCTAAACTGCCAAATCTGGCCATAGGGATTGTAGCTGTAGAACTAGAATTTATTCAAAACCAATGACATTTAAGAGCAGAGAGATATTTTATGACACCTTAGTTTTGAAATAAATCTGATTCCTCCAGACATTCTTAGTCACTTCTAGCAAAGCTGTACTATCTCTGCACTTGAAACTAAATAAAAAGAGATGTAAGAGCTTTAGAAAACAAACATGTGCAGGAGAGAGAAGGGGCTGCTGTTTTCTGTAGTTTTCTGTACTTCTCTGTTAGATGTCTTTGTGAGTAGTTATGGATGAACTATATGTTAGAATATATGTTTTAACAGGAGAGACAGATTTGTGTATCCAAAAAAGTGAAATCACTGCTGCATAAATCTCGCTGCCTCTCTTGCAGAGTCTGAGCAGTATTTGTAAAAGAGCCTGTAAGCCACATTTAAGAGGTAAACACGCCTCAGGGCAGAATACTTTCCTTGTGAGCTCACTTCAGTCCTAATTTGTTTGTTTTTCTCCCTACCCCAGTGTCCCAACAGTTGGCTCAGTGCAAAATTGGCAAATACTTCCTTCCCTGGGACTAGAGGGTATTTTTATATTGACATTCTGTCTGTCCTTGACCAAGATGAAGTATTCTCATGTAACCTCAGCTTCATTTACACAAAGTCAAGCAAAACTCACAAGGACTGCTAAAGCAAATACAAAAATGTGAAAAGTGTCCCCAGTATTGAGACTCAGAAACATGTAATACTCTCCCAATAATAATAAAGACTGTTAGATGGGTGTTAGGTGGGAGAAAAAGCACCAAATTAAGCAGGAGATGCAGGCATATTTTTGCCTGCCTTTCTGTAGAGTGCTGGATATTTAACAAAGCAATACAGATCGAGTTTGGTTGTAATTTTGTGAAAACCTAGTTTGTTATGTAGTTTTCATTTCACAAGGGTGTGGTTTAATCGGACTGTGGGTCTCCCAAGACTGGAAAAAATGTTCTCTGCTATTAAATGTTTCAGACTTTGGAGTAGCATAAGCTATGAAGTATAAGAACTAAAACTGCCCTGGTTTTCTTCAGTGACAGTCTAGTTTTGATCATGTGACTAAACACAATTAATTATAAATTGGGCTGGTTTAAACAAAGAAAGAACTTGCTTTTGAATCATGTACTGCCTTTGGCTTGAGCCAGCAAACAACTGCAGTGGATCAGAAGCATCAGATGTTGCTGATCTAAGTAGATAATTATGTGACGGCAAAATTTAGTCATCCCTATGGAGAGCTTTTCATGAAGTAGAGCCCTGCCTGTTGTCCATAGTTTTCCTTGACTATTTCAGTATGGAATTGCAGCCCAAATTTTAACATTGTGAGCAGTCGTTTATCCTCTCTTGTCAGTTCGCACTTCCGTGGTGCAGTTTTTTCCTCCAGCGTGTCAGCCTGGTGCTGGATGTGTGCTTCTGGGATAATGCTCCTCCTTTCTGAGTCATTCAGGCTTTGCTTTAACCCTCTTTTGTCTCCTGAACTTCAGCAGCTGCTGGAACAGCTATCCCAGGTTTAGTGAAGCCCTTGGTGTTTGGAACTTCATTCAGTGTCTCCATAATGATCTTTTTGATCATGTAGCTTTTCTTCTAGAACTGCATCATAGACTTTTGCAAGCAAAAGACTTCTGGAGCAGATCTTTTATCTTCCCAGATAGGAGTCCCATCAAATTGTTAAGCTTCTGCAAAATCACTGGGAAAATATCCTCCAGGGTTTCTAGTCCTGACAGATGCCTCCTGACCTTAGCACTGTAGGCTGTTAACCCACCCTGAAGCAGTGAGACTCCCAGTGTTGGGACAGAATCAAGAGTAAGGCACATGGCTCTTTATTGTTTAAGGATGAATGTAATTTCTTTTTTTAAAAGACATCCACGCCTCAGTTTGTATCCACAGAATGAAGACTGGTCTGAGGAGACCCTGATAGTCTAGAGCTGCTTGATCAGCAAATATTTGGGAGTTTTTGTTTGTCTTTTCATCTTTTCCTGGCTTAGAACAGAACAGAGTCAAGTTGAATGCTGTCACTTTGAATGCTGTCACTTTGCCAAGTGGGATCTAACATCTGACATCTAAACAACTTCAGTCTCAGTGCCCGAATCTGGCCCTGAACCAAGAAATTACTGGTTTAAACCACTTGTCAGTAAGGTACTAACTGATCATGTGGGAACGTCCCTAAACAATACCCTCTATTACTTGTTTTGGTATTTCTAATACGTTAGGGATGTTTTAATGCTGAATGTTTAAGAAGCTTGGAGAGAATGTGCTGGTCCCTTACTGGCAGTCCATGCCTTGTTGAAGGTCATTGGGTCTGTACAGAGGAGTTGCAGACGGACAGAGCTGGACAGACTAATTAACTGAAGCCCAGGACTGACCCCTATGGTACCTCTTTTCCAGTGTCTGTCTTGTTTGACAGTCAGCCATGGGTACTTGTGTTCTCAGTGCAGTGTTCTGCCCACTGTTGATGCACACTGCTAATGGTTATTATGGCAAGGCAATATTTCCCTTGTTTGTTTATATGGAAGGTGCACAGAATTAGACCTATGGGCCTTAAAAAGGTTAAGCAGCAGCCCAGCCCAGATCCCCTCTTCTTTACTGATCCAGTTATCCTCCTGAAGGAATTAGAATGGTATGTCACTATTTCTGCTTGAAAAACTCATGCCAGCTGGTTTTTTCACGGTGTCACTTTTTAGGTGCTTGTGCATTTATTTTGGTGTCCTGTCCTTCGTTGTTGCATCTTTTCATGTTGAGCTTAGTGTTACAAACACATCCCTCAGTGCACCTCCTTTCACCACAGGAGTGAGGGGACAGGGCAGGCAGGAAGCAGTGGTAAAAGTACTGAGCAGAGGCAGGGAACCAGGTTCTTTTTCTGACCATCCCTTGGATTTCCTTTGTGACTTTTTCCCCGCTTCTTTTCTTTCTTTTCTTTCCTGCTACTTCAAGAGAAGACATGTGCTTACCACACAGCTATAGCATGAGTTTTAAGTAACTCACAGCTGCTTAAAGCAGAGCACACCTAGCACAGATAGCTGTGTGATTTTTTGGTGTGCTTTTGTGTAGGTCACATGAGGGGAGGCTTGCTTTGCACCCCTAGTTGCTAGGTCTCTGCCACCAGTGCCTGTAGATCAACCACCTCAGTCTGACCTCTGTTTTCAGGGTTGTGCTGATTTGGGTTGTGTGAGGTCTTACTTTCAAGTCTTGGTCCTGTGGAGGAGATTGCCATGGATGCTTGGCCATCACGTTGTGGTATTCCAAAGCAACTTTCTGCTTTCAGCTGCCAGGCAGTGTGACCTGTGCAGGACTGTGCCTTTTTGTGGTGGTTCTCAGGATCACTCAGCCTGCTGCTGACCTCTGATTTCCCTGGTGAATGGTTTGGCCATGGTAAACAGGGCTTGAGTGTAAATCGAGGGACTGGAATGTGACAGTCACGTAAGTGGAGCAACAATTGTTGGTAGGTAGCAGGGAAACAGAGAGCCTGGAAAAAAGCCTGAAAAGGTGAGAGCGTGCCTAGAATTTGGGGAAGTGCAGGCTGTAAGGAGGCTGTGTAAGGACACTGGCAATGACTAATATGTTGTCCTGTCTAGATGCAGACTTGTGTGGTTGGCAGCAAAACAAAAATAGCATGTCAGCACAGGATACAGATGTGTTTCCACAAGTTACAACGAAACTAGCTGGCTGGCCTTTACAATTCATTTATCAAAGCACTTCCAGTTCCCATTTTCAGGCTACAGGCTAATTATAAGCATTTCAGGAACGATACACAGTGTTCAGTTCATATTATATTCAGTTAAAAAAAATAATATCTGAAGAGTATCTGTTTTGATTTTGAAGTAGTAAGCATCCTGGGAGGATATTTGAGAACATGCATCTGAAATAAACAGAATTTTTGTTGCTGATTTGGATCTTAAAAATATACAGAGATGTTAAGCTAAAAATAAGTCCTCAATTCACAACTTAGATAATGATTTGCCTGGGAAACCCTCATATACTTTTTTGTGACCATCAGAAATCAAACAATGAAGACTGCTGCTGGCTGAGAATTGCTTTGTGGGATCTAACCCAAAAACACCTTTCTCTGAAAGTGGCCAGAAGAAACAGTGCTGAAGAAAGGGTCACTGGCTGGGTGGTCTGGCCCCAAACATGCTCATAGGTGCCATGGCACTGAATATTGTTCTAAGACTCAGATCACAAAAAGTGCTGTCCTAACAGGCTTTAATAATAATACAATTTTTTTGTAAGCTTTGTATTTTAGGATACATATGGGTATTACTGTTGACCATTAAAAAAACAGTCCAGCCCTTATCAATTTTGTTGCTGTTAGCCTTATCAGCTTGTTAGATTTTGCCACTTTTTCATTTGAGGGCAGAACTCAGTGGTTCTCACATGTGTGCCAAGAATTCATAAAGGAGAAGAAAAGGTTGTGTGTTGTTTTGATGGTTTTTGTGTGTGGTTTGAAGGATTTTTGTGTGTTGTGGTTTTTTCTTTGTTTTGTTGTGTCTGTGTGGAGCACAGCCACGAGTTATATGATCCCTTCCTCTGTGCTGCTTCAGAATTATTTCAAGTTTCCATGGAAACTGTGGAAATGTGATCGAGTAAATTTCAAAGCAATTTCCAGGCACTGCTTTTGGATCCTGTGACAAATAGCAAACATGAAAGAAACCTCCTTGCCATCTTGCACAGCTGTAAAAATGTGCATGGTTCATCTGTGGAAGTGGCACTGCCTTTGGAAGGGTTGAGGGCAGAAACCATGAAATCCACTTCTCACCTACAGACAGCGAGCCTGGCCCCAGCCAAGGACTGCGGCTCTGGGGAGGAATTTTCTGTCCCAGCAGCATCCAGTTCCTGTGGGATCTGGGGAGGCACTGCTTCTGCCTCCTATTCCTGTACAGGATCAGTCACATCCAGAAACATCCTGAGCTTCCCAAGCTCCTGTGAACAAATGTTGTGATGACCCCTCTTTATTGAGATGAAGGATGGCTTGTGCTCAGTATTCATCTACAAAACTTCCAGTGGAAGCCTGTGGAAGTTCAGCTTTCATGGAGATAGAGCTCTCTCACTTTGCATGATGTTTAGCAGCACCAACTGCTTTAATTAACAAGACCAGCTGGTTGCAATGCACACTGCAGAGGTGTTCCTCTTAAAAGCAAAGCAGCTGGTGTTTTTCCCATTTGAAAAAAATCAGGTAGTAGAAATAAAGAAAGCTGAATTGCCAAAAAAATAGTCATCAGTGAAGATAGCAAGGAATGATTTGTTAATTCTAGAATAGAAATTTAGCTAGCCAACGTACCTGTGGGTGAGACTGGTGCGTTTTTCTTGGTGGAAAAAGTGTTTCTGCAATTGTTTCTGCCCCATGAGCCCTGAGGATTGCTTTGATGGCAGGGAGAGGCAGTTTCTGTCTCTGTGCAGAAGGGTGATGCTTCTATTTACCTGGCTGGTTTGGTGCTGATTGTGTGGCTCTACCAAGTACAATAGATAAGGATCAGTCGTTTGAAGTGTTGCCACTTGCTAACGTAGCTAATGGATGGCTCTGCTCTGGTGGGAAGCTGGATCCAGCCCTGGCCGCTGTGTGAGAGGCCACCAAGAACATGTCTCAGATTATGCCTTTTTTAGTGCCTTTACTGACAAATACAGAAAAAATGCTACATATGAAGTCAAGGCACCGTAGGAGGAGAAGTGTGTGTGTTAAGGGTGTTTATATGGGAAAGAGAGGGATGGAGACCCAAAAGGAAAAAGGGCTGGACACAAGAATATGGAGAGAAAAGAAAGAGGCTGTAGTTTAAAAACACCACAGAAGTACAGGCAAAGAACCTGGGACGGCATAAGGTTTAATGAAACTGTAATGAGTCACTGTTACTAACAAGAATGTCCACTGCTAATTTGTGTAAACGTGTGACCTGGCAGTGACACAGCCTCTCCTCTGAGCTCTCAGTCCTTGTGCTCCTCTGGTCCATCTGCCTGCTCTAGGCTCTGGTCCTGCCCCGCTCTCCTGCAGGGATGGCACAGGAACATTCCCCACCATGTTTCCCACCACAGTACAAATAATCGATGTAACTTAAGAACTAATGTAAGCTGCATTGCCATAAGGAAGCTGAGAAAGGAAATTAGCTTTTACAGTAAAAGTTTGCAGAGAAAGTGTTGAGCAAAGAGCTTTCTCTGTTGACACCGTCCATACTATGAAAACAGAGAATGAGGGTTAAAAAAAAACTGGCGTAGAACAAGAATTACAAATAAGCCCTGAAGTTAGCAGTTACTGTGCTGTGTGCATACAATTGCCAAAGAACTTCAAACTTGATGACAAAGCTGTATATAAGCTTGTGTGATGAAATCTGAAGCTGGACAAACACAGCTTGGTTTTCATTTATAGTTTAAAGCCTGTAATCTGCCCAGCTTCGTAAAGATCCTGACAAAGTTGAGCCAAGTTTTAGGAAATCTTCGTTGAGTTATAGTTTCCAATGGAAACTATGCAAAAAGGACAGGCTTTAATGCCAAAGGAGACAAAAATTATGATTTTTGAAACACATGACTGTGTTTCACGTTAGGTTTCGGAGTTAAAGTCTAAACTTTAAAATAAAATTTGCAGACTTCCAACCAACAAAAGAAAAACTTTAATAGACCCACAGGTTTTTTGTTGGTTTGTTTTTTTTTTTACTATCCGTAGTGTGTGGGTGTGGGTTTTTTTATTTACCACATTGCCAGAAATGACAATTCAATATGGATTCTGCTCTGCCTTCTGTTTTCGTGTTAACAAACATCTGGAAACTCATCTTGTGTAATAAATGGGCCTTAGAAAGTAGGTTTTGCTCTACAGGGTCTCTTTAGGGAATGGCTGTGTTAATGCTGGCTCTGCCTTTGAGGGGGAAGTCAGCTGGATTTGTGTTTTCCTGTTGCAGATGTTGTGCTGGAGAAGGCCATGCATAAGTGCATTCTGAAGCCGCTGAAGGGTCACATTGAAGCGATGTTGAAAGAGTTTCATACCACAGATGGTTCCTGGAAACAACTGAAGGAAAACCTGCAGCTGGTGCGGCAGAGGAATCCTCAGGAACTGGGCGTGTTTGTCCCAACACCAGACTTTGTGGACGTTGAAAAGATTAAAGTCAAGTTCATGACTATGCAGAAGATGTATTCACCTGAAAAGAAAGTCATGCTGCTGCTGAGAGTTTGCAAATTGATTTACACTGTCATGGAGAATAACTCAGGTATGGTGCTTCTGGTAGTTCAGGTTCACTGATCTTTCATACCTGATGTTGTCTTTCGGAGGAATCAGCCCATCTCATTCTGCAGACAGGTCTACTGCTGGAGCTCTTGTAGCTTCTCCTTCCCCTTTTGAGAGGAATTCTTGCTCTCTGCTTCTGACCTGCTGTCTCTGTACTATCTGGCTGCATGTCTCAAAAACTCAGTGTGAAGCAGAGTTGTTGTCATGGGTGGAGTGCGAGCTTCAGGCAAAGTTAATTGGAGAAGCCCTCCCGTGGTGCAGGAAGGACCCTCGTGCTTTCTGAACTCCTTCTCAGAGAGGAGCCTGGGTGCAGCTGGATTCAGTCTTAGCCCAGACTTTGTCAATGGTTTAAAATCCAAGGAATTATAGAGGTGTGATTGAACCTTTGTAAAACTTGGTCCTGTAAAACAGGATTAAGGATGACAAACCAGATAGAGTCGTATCAAATGAATTATTTAATATGATAAATGATTAGACCAAAAAGATATTAATCTGAATTATTTACTACATAGTGTAGAAGTAAAAACTACTAGTATAGTCTAGTATAATGTAATGCACTATATCACAACAATTATAATAGAGAAATTATATTAAAGCTAGCAAAAAGACCCAGAACAATTACTGAATAGAGATTGATGTTTCTTACTGAGACCAACGACCAGGGGTGCCAAATCTCTTTTGCTCAGCCTCCAGGAGTGGCTGTGAGGGGCGTTCCCACCCACGGGAGGAGTCTCCACACACACTCCCAGAAGGGAAATATTAGAAGATCCTGCCATTTGAAAGCAGGACTGGACTTTTAGAGTACAAAGTGATTGACTGTCAGCCAGATGTCTCCATGCCAGCTGTGTCAGCCTCTGCGTTTTTAGATGAGGATACTTTATTTGCCACATCAATATCAGGCTGCTTAACTTTGGGGTTGATGAGTCAGACTGGGTTTAGCATAATTCAACACCAAAAGCAGCATGACACCACTTCTTAGTTCACCACTGATAACTTTGCAAAACAGGGCATTGTTTTACCTCACTCCAGGCAGAGCATCCTACAGATGTGAAGCAATTGAAAAAGAGCAGCTTTCCTTAACTGTAGTTGCCTGGCAGAAAGGCTGTCCTGTGAGCCTGGAATTTAACACTGATTCTAAATGAGTATTTGTCTGCAAATTGTAATAGAGGTAACACCATATATTTAGCTGTTGTAATTCAATAGCATGTATGCAATATGACAACTACAATGGTTTTATCTTAATGGGTGCAGAAACGCAGCCTCTAATCCAGTATTTTTGGCTTGCTGTGCCACTGAATGTTCTCATTTGGACGCTTTCTGTCATGCTTTTGGAACAGAAATTACATCTATTTTTGCACTGTAGCAAGAACCCTAAAGCACCTTTGAAACCTAAATACTGAAATGGCACTACAGTCCAGTCAAGACCTGCTGAGCAGTCAGTGGTCCAAAATGCTGTGCTGGATGGCATGAATTTATAGGTGCAACTGTGGCATTCTCTCTTGCACACTGCTATGACAGGTCATGAGCTAAGGTGTAGCAAAGCTGTGGTAGTGGGAGATTTTTTCCCCTAAGTTAGTATAAGCTGCTGCAGGTGCTTAGCAGTTCTCTTTCTAAGGAAGCACTGCATGTGCAGCTGGGTCTGGTGCAGATCAAGACACCTACTTTCCTTGGAGATTGGAGATGAATGGTGAAAGCTCATGGCTGTTAAAGCCCCCCAGGTACTTTTACAAGATTTAGGACTGAGCTCCTGCCCAGCTTATTATTGTGTTTCAAAATCCTGCATTTTAAAAGGGGATACGGGGGTCTTGGCCTGAAGTTCTCTAAACTCATCTCTCTCTACTGTGATGTTACTGGATTGAGTAAGGTATTTCCAACAAGCACAAGGAAAATACTGAGAGACTGCTGCTGCTCAGGTGCTGCATTGGGAGACTTGAGCTGAGATGTGGCAAGTGCTCATTAGGCTGTCTTATTTTGTCATGTGAAGTTTTTTAAACGTGGCATTGAGCCAGCAGCTGTTTGAGTATCCATACTTCCAGCCAGGTAAGTGTGGTAGCTGGAGCGTGTGCCTCAGCTGGTGTCACTTGAGTTTCAGCAGAGTTGTGAGCTGGCTCCTGCTCTGGGCAGTTCTGAGTGACCATCACATCTGTTTTGCAGTGAACACTGTTTTGCCCGACCCAGAGATTTGGCCACATTGAGATTTCTGAACAGAAAGTCAAAATGCAGGAAAAGTGCCAGGAGCACAGACAGGCCTAGGTACAGCACAGTCTTTGTGGATCACTGTCACTCCAGGTCCTTAGAGTCTCTCCCCATCTTTCTTGTAGGCTCCCTTCAGGTGCAGCACCTGGTGTTTGTAGAACACCTCTCTGATGTTTTTGACAATTGTTTGTCAAGGAAATGAGTTGAGTTTTCTTGTCAAATCTAACAGGCTTTTATATTCAGGCTTCTCTGCTGTGGGATTCATACTCAGAGACTGGTATTTGTGTCTGGATGCTTCCAGAAAGTTGATACAATCCCTGGATGTCTAAAGAAAATGCTGTTCATCACCTCTTAGGCAATGGTAGCAGTGCAGGTGAAGGTCAGGCCAGACTGGCATGGCAGCCTTTTCAGCAGTTCACAGTTGAGCTGCTGCCAGTGTGAGCCCAGTCTCTGAATTTCCCTTGCATGCCTCCAGGTGTGCATCATAAGATCTGTGCCAGTTTGAAGGACAGGATTCAGCTTGTCTCCTGTACAGTGAGTGTCAGGTGGGGTTCTCTTTGCTGCACATTGGTGACTTTAGGAGGTTCTGAAGTAATACAGACATGCTGGGTAGAGAAGGCACAAAAGAGTGCTTTCCTTTCAAAAATGGGAATTGCTGAAAAAATGTGGTTTGTTTTCACTGCCTGTGTTCCCTTCAACCCAGGGAGGCTGTATGGAGCTGATGACTTCTTGCCTGTGTTGACGTATGTGCTCGCCCAGTGTGATATGCTGGAGCTGGATACCGAAATCGAATACATGATGGAGTTGTTGGATCCATCCTTGCTGCATGGAGAAGGTAATCTGTTTATTTTTACTAGAACTGCCTGAAGGACTAGTGAGGGGGTGTTCTGAATCCTATTAAGGGGAGACCTAATGACAGTGATGTTGATAGTGTAACAAAGAATGTCATCATCATTTCCACTGCTGGGCAGCCTGCAGAGCACCAGCCCCCGCGGCTGGAAAATCTGCTGCCGTGTGTTGCTTTGTGAGCAAATACATTGTTTCCAATCCGTTTTGACTCAGCAGGCAAACACATGCACTGTGCAGGTGCCCGATGGCCTTAGCCTTTTGTGCCTGAAAATTTCCTGAGAGGATTTAAGGGGCAGCAGCACCCAGCAAATTGTGAGGCACATAATGAGACTTGGCTTCTATGTTTTGTGAAGACTTCTGGGGGACTTCTTTGCACCTTTGCAGAAGTGCTTTTGAGAATGTTGCCCACTTTTAATGATCTTTGCTTCTTCCCAGTATTTGCTTCTCACAAAGTATTTTTATAAGCTCTAGCAGTATGTTTCCTGAGGCATTTCTTGAATGAATGCTAAAGTCTGCTGCAGGCAAGGAAATCTGCCTCCTTGCAGTTTCCATGGTAATATTTTTAACAGAGCAGTTTTCTGCAAGGCCCTGGTAGGCCCCAGAATCTAAAAGGTTTGTGAGGAGGTTTGAAGGCTCTTGCAGCCAAGCTTAACTGTGTGTTTAGGCATATGTGTGTGTTTCCTGTTCCTGCTATATCCTGGCTTTCTGAAATTGCTTTTCATGTATCCTCTTGCATGCTCTTATGCCACAATTCCTTCAATTTGGCACTAGTTTGTTCCTTGCTTGGTGTACAGAGCATCCTTGAGTGCATTGTTAGGAGTCTTAGCATGGAAAATACTTGAGATGTGAAGCTGGAGATCATTAACATGCTTTAAAAGCAGAAAGGTTTACTGGACTATTAAGTCTTGTTGTTTTGAATACAGCAGAGAAAGTCTGTCTATTGGCTGGGCCTGTCATTGGCACTAGCTCAGCTCTGCTGTGCAGAATAAATTGTGTGGGGCTTTAGGGTTGTGCATTTCAACTGTAATGTATTGTCCAATGTGTCTAAAGGGTCTTGCATGAATTTTATGTGTTCATCTTGTTGCAAAGCTAAAGGCTGAGAGGGAATGCTGTCAGTAATACAGAAAATACTACTGTGGGCATCCAGTGCATCTCTGAATGCCTCTGAATAGACTGTGCTCTTAGCTGAACACTCCCACCCAAATAGTTGACTTGAAAAAGAAAAGACAGCATGTCTTTTGTTTCTCCTGGTCGCTGCGGGCTGTTGCCTCCTGTTGAGACTCTTTTACGTTGTGACCCAGAGCTTCTTTTGTACATTGGCAACTCTGTTGTGGCTTTAATTTGTTCTCTACTCCTGTAATAAAGGTGGAGTGTGCAGGACTGTACACACCATCTCCTGAATTAGTTGGATGTTCTGGGAATGCTGAGAAGGTGATGATAGATGAGTAGTTGTTTTAAAAATAAAGGCAACTTTTTGGGATGATTCCAGGGTACAAGTCTCACACTCAGTTGCTGCTTTATTGCCCCTGAGGGTGGTTGCTTTTAAGCTGGTGAACACATTTAGATTGTTTTTTATTTTGTATCAACAGGCGTGTTTATTTCATCCATCATTGAAGCCTGGGAAGAAACCAAAACACTGTTAGAAAATTATTTAGAATAAAGCTGGTGTTCCAAGATTGGAGGAGTAAATACTCAGAAGTAAAGGAGTTACGAGAGTTGTTGGTTTTCATAGCTTTTACAGAGACGGGGCAACCGAGAGGAGTTTTAAAAAAAATTTATTCTCTTATCAGTCATTTAAGGAATGGCTTTCCTCAGCAGGAGTGGACCCAAGGCTCTGCTGTGTAATATGGAGCACATGCTATCCCTGCGTGTCTCTGAGCAGCTGAGAACACACCCTCCAGTGTCGTGCAGGCCAGGAAGGGTTTTCCTTTTGTGTGTAAATATTCTGACAACTTTCATATCTGTGTGTGTGTGTAGCTGGGTGCCTCTCTGTGTGCATTTATATATACCTCAAAGAAAACTGCCTGTGCTTGTGACTGTGACCACTCTGAGGAGCTCTTCCCTTGCTGTCCTTCACAGGGGGCTATTACTTGACAAGCGCTTATGGAGCACTTTCACTGATCAAGAACTTCCAGGAAGAACAAGCTGCCCAGCTGCTCAGTTCAGAGGCCAGAGACACTCTCCGGCAGTGGCACAAGAGGAGGACAACAAACAGGACAATACCTTCAGTTGATGATTTTCAGGTAGAACTTAGGGCTGAAACAGAAAATGGGATGATTGTGTTGCTGGAAATACCCATTTGAGAGGTATCATTCACAGCAAATTCCCTTGGCAGGGCTGAGATTATGGCTGGCAAATTTGCCTCTTTGAAGTCTTCACACTCACTTTTTATCAAACAGTTTCAATATGATGGTCTGAAGAAAACACTAAATAATAGAGCTTTCTTACCTTCCCCTTTAAGTCATGTGAAGCGAGAACAAACTGCATTGTATCTTAGGTTCAGCTGTTTTGCACACTTTTTTGTTCAAAAGATCAAATCCAGATTTCCAGGGGTATAAATCAGCCCAGCTGCCCAATAGCCAGTGGTGACTAAAGCAGGTAGCAGACAGGAGAGGTGGGAGAAACGTTCCCTGACAGTTTTGAAGTTTAAGCAGGCAGCAGAGTTCTGTGATATGGATGTCCTCACATTTCCTTGTGTTTTGTTTTTTCTTTTTTGTCCCCTGTGTTCTGTACTGCTCTTCCAGAGTAGGGCAGTACCTTCAGCTGGAGAATAACAAAGCAGTGGTTATCACTTCATCTTCTGAACCCAGGCCTGCATCTCTTCCATCTGCTTTGGACTGACTGTTAAGGTGCAGCAGTTTGTGAGCTGAAAGAGGGGAGGGTGTTTGAACTGGGAAGAGAGGATTTACTCCTTGGAATTCAGCTGTCTGCACTTAGGAAGAGGAGAAGCCATTACGAGCAATTCCAGTGTCCAAAGCCTGCCCATCTCCCTGGAATCCACGTTCTGTTCTCCTGACCTGTACTTAGGCGTCAGATTCCAGCAGCTGGAGTCTTTGTTCTTTCTGGCAAAACTCTGCACTTTCCATAGGAGCATCCAGCACCTTATTTCTGCTGGGTGAGGAAATGACAGAAGATTCTTTCTGCAGGATTTTGTAGGAGGTTCCATCTTCTCTTTCTCTTCAGATGAACTTGGTCCAGGCTCAGTGTTCACTTGGATGCAGGAAGCAGGGAAGAGTTGGCACCAAGTGTGTCCAGTGCTTCTCCTGCTGTTGTCTCTTTCAAAAGAGAGCCTCCAATTAGTGGATCCCACCACCCACAGGACGTGCTTGGCACAAATGCAAGTGTTTTGCTGTCTACTCAGAATGGCAATTTTCTCTCTTCTCTCTCTCTGAGTCTTGCAGTCCTGAAATGGAGCACCTTGCCTACAATCAGCATGGAACATGTCTGCAGCTCCAGTCATCTTCCTCCCAGGGAAACAGGCTGTGCTCATGGCATTTCTGTGCTGCAGTCTCACAGCCTTGCTGGCTCTTGGGCCCTGGACGCTGTCTTTCCACCTTCCCTAAATGGATGGAAAAGCAAAAACCCCAGTACTTTGATGATGATGAAATACAGCTTTCTGGGCATCTGTAAAAAAACTTCAGCCTTTCCTTTTCCTTCCAGCAATCCTGCCCATTTAAAAACTCGTGCTTTTCAAAGCAGGTCTTGTGTGTGGTAGCTTAATTAAAAATTAAATCTAGTGTGTTTTGCCCTATTTAGGGCTGGGTTTTTTCTACAAGTTCTTCAAACCAGGTAAAAAAACTGGCTTAGTTCTGTTCAGTCAGACTCAGCCCCAATTTTTAAAATCTATTGCAGAGCTTTAGTGTTCAGTCTTCGCGGTATCAAGAAATACTTGATTAGACAAGAGTGCTCTTTGGAACTTAAGTCATTGGAAGGTTCTTTTCAGTCCTAGCCTTTAACAGCTTGTTTCTGTGAGACCTAAACTTCTACCATTGGGATTTCACACGCTTAATTTATTCATCATACAAACCATGGGTGCCAGCTCAGTCAATAAACAGCTCTTTCTCCCTGTAATTTTTTCCATCTCCTTCAATCTTAGTGCATTTTAGTCTTTAATCCAAGCTAATTTTTTTTCTTTTAAAACTGTCTCTGGTTTAGAGACAATTTTAGGAGAAAACGCTCTGGAATGAACATTTTCTCTAAAGAAAATGGATTTTGGCACTCCCTTCCCACCAGTATGAAAGGAATTTCTTGGATGAAAATGACAAAAACCATTTATTGAACAAACAAAGTGCTCACAGGGAGAAAATTAATAACTGTTGGGTATTGAAGCTCCTTGCTGCTGGTGGATTTAGAGTTCCCTCTTCAGCTGGCCTGGCCTCCCCCGAGGTCCAGAGCTGGGATGCAGCATCCGGCTCCCACCACTGGTCTGGTTGTTGGACCAAAACTGAGCCGAGCAGTTCCACAGGAAGCCACAGAAGTCACTGGACGATGGCTGTTGCAGTCCTGGGAAAACTTCTTGCCTCAGTTAACTAACACCAAGGTAGCCAAAAGCAGAAATGTAACTCCCTCCACGCTGCAAAGCCAAGCACATGGGGAGCAAGTTCCTTGAACACAGCCTGTGCCAGAGTTCCCCCAGCTCCCACCCCTCCCCTGGACCCAGCTTAATGCTCCAGGACCCATTTCTGGGCATAAAGCAGACCATAGGGGAATACAGTATTATCATAAAATCACCCCAGGACAAAAACAGACAGGAAGCAGATGAAACTGGATTTCCCTGTGGGGCCTATTTAGAATGTATCTGTGTCAGCAGAGTTGCGGGCGTGTGTCAGTCAGGAGAAGACATCCACCTTTCACCTCAAGATAGGTGCATTTACTCAAATGGTGCAGAGTAAATTTTCTTTCTGAATCCCTGTAGAAAAAAATGAAATGCTGTCCTGTGAAGCTGGGTTATGCCAGGCTTAGACACGAGGCTGCAGCTCACGGGATGGCCACAATGTCCGGGAATCACCAGGGTGTGTTTCACAGCTGGAGCAGGGAGAGGCTTGCTTTTTGCTGCTGACTTTTCAGTTTTCAGAATCTATGGGGTTTTCGAGTTCCTGATGTCTGCTTTCTTGTTCACAGAACTACCTTCGTGTTGCATTCCAGGAAGTTAACAGCGGCTGTACGGGAAAGACTTTGCTAGTAAGGCCATATATCACTACCGAAGATGTATGTCAGCTTTGTGCTGAGAAGTTTAAAGTGGCAAATCCAGAAGAATACAGGCTGTTTCTTTTTGTTGATGACACCTGGCAACAACTGACAGAGGATACCTACCCTCAGAAAATCAAGGCGGAGTTGCACAGCCGTCCGCAGCCCCAGGTCTTTCACTTTGTCTACAAGCGCCTTAACAGTGACCCGTATGGGGCCATTCTGCAGAACAGCCACGACTCGGCTGCTTAAAACCAGCAACCTGTCATTTTTGTGTCCGTGCCTTGGTAATTGTTACAAACATCTTTGCTGGCTGCCTTCCTTAGGAGCTAAAACATGTCTTAAACCTTAAGTGCCTGGTGAAACACGTGCTGACGTTTCTGATATTGCTTACGGGACCCAGGCGCACTGTGCACGTGGCCAGTTATGCAGAATATTCCACCAGCATGTCTGAGGAGACAGCCTATGAGGCTGCATTTCTTGTACCATGGGCTCTTTTTCAGCATATTCTACTGTGGCCTTTCACAGGTCTTGGCTGTAGTGTGCAAAATACAGTTTTCTTCCACTCCTGTTTCCCCAGCTTGCATTTGAATCCGTGTGCGAGACGAGTGCGTCCCTGAACTGGGGTGAGCTCAGTTCCCCAGCAGGAGTTTGACAAGACTGTCCGATGCAGGGCATCAGTTCACTCAGCATTACCTGGATGGTTGCATCCTTGTCTAATTTTTTTGATTACAGAAAATCAACCTGTTTATATATATATATATATATATATATATATATAATAGATATTTTATAGCAGTTGCAGGTAAACTGTCAGGGTTGGTTTTTGAAATATTTTTTTAACTAAAATATTCTATAATTATGCATGTGATTTTTAACATTTAATACACAAGAATAAATCTCTTGCTGGTTTTAGAGTCTTGCATTGACAGCCTGTGTGGTTTCTCTTCTTTACCTGTCCCAGGAGAATTCTTAGGAAACCTCTGTATCCTTAAGGCAGTTTTGCTGTCTGTCCTCAATTGTCTTCTCAAAATCAGACCATTTTACTCATTGTGCTGTGCAAAACACATCTTAGCCTCTCATCACATTCATTCTGAGCACACTGAGGGGAAGAGAACCGATAAAGGTGAAATTTCCCTGAGAAAGGAGATCAGGGTGCCACTGGTGGCACGGGCTGGGATTGGAGCTGAGCTGGAGCACGTCACCCTTTCATCTTTCACCTCATGTTTCATCAGGGCGTTTATGGCTCTGCCAAGAGCCAGATGGTGATTAATGAGTCCCAGGCCAAGCCATGACAGTAACCTGTTCTGTTTGAGCTGCTGGTTTCTTGACACGTGCGTCAGCCATACTCTCTAATAAGTCTTGGGGTTTGTTTCTGATTTTCTTTCAGCCTTATATCCAACTATCATCCCCTTTTCTTCTCTTCGTCCAGTGTGTCTTTTGTATTCCTTGGTCCTGTGTTCTCCCATTCCCTTTCCCTACTTCACTCTCTTCTTCTTTTTAAGAAATAAATACTCAATATTTATTTAGTAAACCTTGCTCAGTCCCTCTCCCTGTTCTGTCCTACTTTTTGTCTCCTTCCCTCTCTCCCTGCCTGCATCTTTATCTTTCCTTCTTTCTTCCTCTTTTTTTCCCTTTTCCTGCACTGGGACTGTATTTCTTTGTCCCTCTCGCTGTCCTTTACCCTGTACCTGTCTGCATTTTCTGCCCAGTCCTTCATTCTCATTGTACCCCTGTCTTGAAAAGCCTCTGTCCTGCTGGCCGTGCCTCTCCTTCTCCATCCCTGCCCTGCACCTTGCCCGCTTTCCTCCACCGGCCGTGCCATGGTCGTTGCCTCTCTCTGTCCTTGTTTCCCTCTTTGTAGCACTCTGTCTCTTTCTCTGTCCTTCTCCATGCCTCACTCCTGTTCCTCTTTTTTCTGTGTGGCTCTGTGGTGCTTTCCATGCCATTGTTTCTCACTGGATACTCGTGAACCATTCCCTGTCCTTGTTCTTTTTTAAGCCCTTTCTGTAATGCTGCCAATCCCAGTTAGGGTTTTTTTGGTTTTTTTGTTTGTTTGGGTTTTGATTTGTTTTGGGGTTTTTTGGGGATGTTTCTGTTTTGGTTTGGGGGTTTTTTTGGTGGTTTTGTTTGTTTGTTTGGTTTTTGCCTTACTTGTATTCCTTTTTTATTCTTGGTGGCTCTGTGGTGCTCCCATGTGCCATTGTTTCTCTACTGGATCCTTGTGTCCCGTTCCCTGTCCCTGTTCTTTTTTAATCCCTCACTGTCATGCTGCTCATCCCAGGTTTTTTGTTGTTGTTGTTTTGGTTGTTTTTTGAATTTCATTCTGCACCCTGTTCTTACTTTTTTCCTGTCACCTTGCCTGCTTTCCTCCACCGGCCGTGCCATGGTCGTTGCCTCTCTCTGTCCTTGTTTCCCTCTTTGTAGCACTCTGTCTCTTTCTCTGTCCTTCTCCATGCCTCACTCCTGTTCCTCTTTTTTCTGTGTGGCTCTGTGGTGCTTTCCATGCCATTGTTTCTCACTGGATACTCGTGAACCATTCCCTGTCCTTGTTCTTTTTTAAGCCCTTTCTGTAATGCTGCCAATCCCAGTTAGGGTTTTTTTGGTTTTTTTGTTTGTTTGGGTTTTGATTTGTTTTGGGGTTTTTTGGGGATGTTTCTGTTTTGGTTTGGGGGTTTTTTTGGTGGTTTTGTTTGTTTGTTTGGTTTTTGCCTTACTTGTATTCCTTTTTTATTCTTGGTGGCTCTGTGGTGCTCCCATGTGCCATTGTTTCTCTACTGGATCCTTGTGTCCCGTTCCCTGTCCCTGTTCTTTTTTAATCCCTCACTGTCATGCTGCTCATCCCAGGTTTTTTGTTGTTGTTTTGGTTGTTTTTTGAATTTCATTCTGCACCCTGTTCTTACTTTTTTCCTGTCTCCTCTCTGCGTCTCTCCTGTGACTGCGGGGCTGGGGAGGAATTTCTGGGGGCCGCCCCCCATTCTTGTTGCAGCAGAGTCCCTTTTGGGGGGATGTACTCATGGGAAGGGCTGGAATAAAGCACCGCGCTGCTGTCCAGGGCAGTTTGACTTGTTCTGTGCCTTCTTCGGGGGTGAGGAGAAAAGGCTGAAGGTGAGGGGGTGAAGACTCGGGGCTCTGATGCCATTTGGGGCACCCCAATGTCCCGAGGAGCGGGTGGGTGGGGAATGAGGGGGATCGTGCTGGGCGCTGTGCCCCAGAGGGACCCAAAGCTGCCACAAAATTCACAGGGAGGGGTGGGTGTAGAATACTAAAACCTGTCAAGTTTTTCGTTTTTATAGGTACTGGCAAAGAATGGGAATTTATCTCTAAAATCATTTTGAAAGAATGATTTGGAAAGAATCTCTCTATCCATTCTATTGTATACAGGAATGTAGGAAACTCTTGACTAGAGATGGGAGGTAGTTTTGTTTCACCTAGGAATGAGCCAAGCTGTGCCCTGAAACCCCAGGAGCGGCTGAGGGGAGCAGGAGGAGCTCTCCGGCCGCTTCGGCCTCCGCTCTCCGCCCGCCCCCGCGGCGCCTCGCAGCCCGGCCTGGGCGGGGGCGCTGCTGCCGCCTTGTGGGCACAGAGCGGCACTGCCGCTCCCGGGACAGCGCTGAAGGAGAGCTGGGAGTGCAAAGGGACGCGGCCGGGCTTGAGCGGGGGCCGCGGCGCTGCAAGGGGCGGTGGCTGAGAAGAATGACAGCGGCGGGGGCGCGGTCGTAGCGGCGGGAGGCGTCGGAACGGAGCTGCCATTTCAAGATGGCGAAGAGACCGCGCACCGGACCCTGCATGAGCCGGGTCGGGCTGCAGCCACACTCAAGATGGCGGCCGCGGCAGGAGCCCGGCAGAGGCGCCGCCGCCGCTCCCTGCCGCCACTCGCGCGGCTGCCGCCCGGCTCCGGGACCGCTGACTCCGCCAACCGTTTCCTCCCGCCGGGAAAGGCAGCGAAGAATCGCGCTGAGAGCGTGGGATCGCTGTCGGGGCCGGGCTGAGGCAGCCGACAAGACAAACGCCTATGTGGGGAGCGGGGGGGGGGGCCTGAAGGGTACCACAACAAAGATGGAAATGGCTTCTGCCAGTACCAAAGATTGAGGGGAGGAAGGGCGGAAGTCACTTGACGCCACACGCAGGATGGCGGCACAGCGCGCCACTCACTCGACCTTCCAAAGATGGCGGCAGTCGGCGCCTGCACCTTGGTGAGGGACAGAAAAGGGCGGGACAGGAGTGCCCCGCTCCGTCTGCTCGGCCCCGACACCGCCCCGGCCCAGCCCCAGCGCGGCTTTCCGCCGCGCTTCCCGGTGTGTGATCACGGGCTGTGGGCCCGGCGGCGCCGGGGCCGGGCGGGCAGTGGCGGGGATGCCACTGGACGCCGCGCTCCGCTCCTGCCCTCCCCCGAGAGGACCCCGCGCCTCAGCACCGGCCATGGCGGGCCGGCAGCCCGAGCCGGCCCGCCGCTCTCCCCCCTTCTTCATCCCCGCTCCCTCCGCCCCAGGGAAATGGAGGAAAACACAAAGGCATCGGGGAAGAGCAGTGAGCCGAGCTGCCTGGGCCATCCCCTGCCCGCCCCGGGAGCAGCCAGCAGGAGAGGCAGCTGCTCTCTCCGCCGGGAGGTGAGGGGTGCGGGGCGGGCACGGATTGCCGGGCAGGGCTTCCCAAGGGGAATTTCAGCTCCCTGCTCTCTGCCTGAGGGCTGCATGGAGTCCGGGCTGCGGCAGCTGGAGGCAGGGGTGCTGCTGGAAAGGGCAGCTCACAGCAGCCTCCTGCTGGAACCAGCTCCAGCGCCGCCGCCCAGCGCAATTCCCATCGGATTTGTAGCAAAGGTGTGTTTCAAGCTGGGAGCGCTCTGTTCCCCGGGTGGGAAAGTCCTTGAAGCAGCCACGCTGAGCCGTTTCTGAGAATTCCAAGCCTCGTGTCCTTATGATTATTGATACAGTATTTAAATAGTTGCTATCAAGTGGATTTTGTTGGTTGGTTGGGATTTTTTTTCCCCTCACTCGTGTTCCTTTTTTATTCTCTGTGGTACTCCAGTGTGCCATTGTTTCTCTACTGGATCCTTGTGTCCCGTTCCATGTCCCTGTTCTCTTTTACAAAGTCCTTGAAGCAGCCACGCTGAGCCGTTTCTGAGAATTCCAAGCCTCGTGTCCTTATGATTATTGATACAGTATTTAAATAGTTGCTATCGAGTATCAAGTGGATTTTGTTGGTTTGTTGGGATTTTTTTTCCCCTCACTCGTGTTCCTTTTTTATTCTCTGTGGTACTCCAGTGTGCCATTGTTTCTCTACTGGATCCTTGTGTCCCATTCCCTGTCCCTGTTCTTTTTTATTCCCTCACTGTCACGCTGCCCATCCCAGGTTTTGGTTTTGGTTTTGTTTTTAAATAATTTTTTCTATTTCATTCTGCACCCCGTCCTTAACTTTTCTTCCTGTGTCCTCCCTGCTGCCCTTCCCTCTCTCTGCCTCTCCTGTGACTGCGGGGCTGGGGAGGAACTTCTGGGGGCCGCCCCCCATTCTTGTTGCAGCAGAGTCCCTTTTGGGGGGATGTACGCGTGGGAAGGGCTGGAATAAAGCCTGAGAATTCTGAGAATTCCCAACCTTGTGTCCTTAGAATTCTTGATACAGTATTTAAATAGTTGCTATCAAGTTGAGACAGTCTAGTGGATTTGTTAGAGTGGCAGAAATGGTTTTTTACCTGGAAGTGTGTTGGGATAAGCAACCTTCCTTAATGTCAGAATGACTTGGTCTTCCTTCTTTTCCCCTTTCCCTTTCTAGATTGCTGAGCACTGGGGAGAATATTTGGGATAAAGAAATGAAAGGCACAAGGGAAGCTCTACACTCCCGAGGGAATGTTTAGCCACGTGCAGCTTCTGACCTCACCAATAATCCCAGCTGCCACAGAAACCTTCTGAAGCTGGGACAGGGAAGACAATTCCAAGAGCTGTGGGAAGTGCTTTCTCCCAGGACTGGATGGCACTGAGGTTGGAATGAGTTCCAGATCATCCTTGTGCCTCTCCTGTTGCCATCCAGGACTAAGTCCATGTTCTCTGAGTGTGGAGGGAAGAAGCCTGTGCTGGAGAATGGGAGAAAAGTCCCACAGCTGGTTGCTGTGTCCTCTGTGGGCACAGAACTCTGGCCAGATGGGTTGGTGAGTATGGAACCAATCCTGCCTCCTTTTGACTGAATTTTTGTCATGAGTCATCAGCAGGGACTGCTTCTAGCCAGCTTTAATTCCATTTCTTTTTCACAAATTTCTGGTTGTTTTGATCCTGAAATTGCCGAATCCTTAAGTTTACTGAATTAACCCTGGAAAGGTTCTACAAGCCAATGCTGAGGGAATTGGGGATTGGATAGTTAGGATCTTACGGCCCTTCAAGGGTTGGGTTCACCCCCCTGGTTTTGGTGCCAAGGGAAATCCAAGTTAACACTGATCAAAATAGGAAGCAGTTCCCTCATGAAAGTCAGTTTTCCAAATCTCTGTTCAGGATCCAAAAAAGATGGGAATGCCCTTGGGAAAAAAATGCCTTTGAGAGAAAGTGAGCTTAAAATGCCTGTAAGCAGGAAATCCAGGAAAAATGGCTGCTGGCTCCTGGCATCCTGGGCTTGCCAGGCAGGTTCTGTACTTGATTGCAAGGCAGTTTTCCTGCCTTTGCAGGGGGTGGGAGAAAAATATTCCCCTCCTTCCCTGACACAGCCCTGGAGTGGGAGCAGCTTGCCCTTATCCTGGAGTTATCCTGCTCCTGCCCAGGATCCCTCTGGTATCATGTGCTTCCCAAGCTCCCAGCACTGATGGATCTAAACAAGGAGAACAATATCTGTTCCTTCTCTTCTCCATCCTCCACGTTCCCAGGCCCTGTGTCTCCCTGGCTATTCCCTGTCCTTATCTCCATCCCACCTTCTCCTGGTCACATCTGGGCCTGAGATGTGTTTAGCAGCAAATCCATTCCTTTGAAGGAAGCCAAGTGCAAAGAGCATCCAGCTGCAGGGAAGTCTTTAGAAAAGGAATGCAGTCATGCAAAGAAGGGCTCCGTCTTCCTGCATTTCCTGTCGTTTGTCTGGTTTCAGAGGGTTTCTCTCTGGGTTCACCCCCCTGGTTTTGGTGCCAAGGGAAATCCAAGTTAACACTGATCAAAATAGGAAGCAGTTCCCTCATGAAAGTCAGCTTTCCAAACCTCTGTTCAGGATCCAAAAAAGATAGGAATGCCCTTGGGAAAAAAGTGTCTTTGAGAGAAAGTGAGCTTAAAATGCCTGTAAGCAGGAAATCCAGGAAAAATGGCTGCTGGCTCCTGGCATCCTGGGCTTGCCAGGCAGGTTCTGTACTTGATTGCAAGGCAGTTTTCCTGCCTTTGCAGGGGGTGGGAGAAAAATATTCCCCTCCTTCCCTGACACAGCCCTGGAGTGGGAGCAGCTTGCCCTTATCCTGGAGTTATCCTGCTCCTGCCCAGGATCCCTCTGGTATCATGTGCTTCCCAAGCTCCCAGCACTGATGGATCTAAACAAGGAGAACAATATCTGTTCCTTCTCTTCTCCATCCTCCACGTTCCCAGGCCCTGTGTCTCCCTGGCTATTCCCTGTCCTTATCTCCATCCCACCTTCTCCTGGTCACATCTGGGCCTGAGATGTGTTTAGCAGCAAATCCATTCCTTTGAAGGAAGCCAAGTGCAAAGAGCATCCAGCTGCAGGGAAGTCTTTAGAAAAGGAATGCAGTCATGCAAAGAAGGGCTCCGTCTTCCTGCATTTCCTGTCGTTTTTCTCTGTCCAGTTTCAGAGGGTTTCTCTCCGTGCTTTCCTGTGATCCAGATGTGTCCCTTCCTTTATCCAGATCCAGTGCCAAAGGATTGAACAGCTGATGAGTGGGGTCTGGGATGAGAATGGTTCTGCTAAAATTAGGCAAAGAATCCTAGAAGAAAAACGAGCTTCCTTTGAATGTCAGGAGTATAAACACTGGGAAAGGGCACTTTTTATTTGATTTGGTGCCACCTTCCCTTTTTTATGGCTAAAACTCCATGGTGAGCAATCCAAGCCAAAAGATGAAATGCAGGAGTCTGATTCTGCAGTGAGCTTAACTTCCCTTTTCTTAGGAAGCAGTTCCCTCATGAAAGTCAGTTTTCCAAATCTCTGTTCAGGATCCAAAAAAGATGGGAATGCCCTTGGGAAAAAAATGCCTTTGAGAGAAAGTGAGCTTAAAATGCCTGTAAGCAGGAAATCCAGGAAAAATGGCTGCTGGCTCCTGGCATCCTGGGCTTGCCAGGCAGGTTCTGTACTTGATTGCAAGGCAGTTTTCCTGCCTTTGCAGGGGGTGGGAGAAAAATATTCCCCTCCTTCCCTGACACAGCCCTGGAGTGGGAGCAGCCTGCCCTTATCCTGGAGTTATCCTGCTCCTGCCCAGGATCCCTCTGGTATCATGTGCTTCCCAAGCTCCCAGCACTGATGGATCTAAACAAGAAGAACAATATCTGTTCCTTCTCTTCTCCATCCTCCACGTTCCCAGGCCCTGTGTCTCCCTGGCTATTCCCTGTCCTTATCTCCATCCCACCTTCTCCTGGTCACATCTGGGCCTGAGATGTGTTTAGCAGCAAATCCATTCCTTTGAAGGAAGCCAAGTGCAAAGAGCATCCAGCTGCAGGGAAGTCTTTAGAAAAGGAATGCAGTCATGCAAAGAAGGGCTCCGTCTTCCTGCATTTCCTGTCGTTTTTCTCTGTCCAGTTTCAGAGGGTTTCTCTCCGTGCTTTCCTGTGATCCAGATGTGTCCCTTCCTTTATCCAGATCCAGTGCCAAAGGATTGAACAGCTGATGAGTGGGGTCTGGGATGAGAATGGTTCTGCTAAAATTAGGCAAAGAATCCTAGAAGAAAAACGAGCTTCCTTTGAATGTCAGGAGTATAAACACTGGGAAAGGGCACTTTTTATTTGATTTGGTGGCACCTCCCCTTTTTTATGGCTAAAACTCCATAGTGAGCAATCTCAAGCCAAGAGATGAAATGCAGGAGTCTTTGATTCTGCAGTGAGCTTAACTTCCCTTTTCTCCTCTCTTTCAGGACAGGGAGAACCACTGAACTTGTCCTGGCCTTGCCCAGAGCTTTGGTGTTTGGGCTGCCAAACCCAAACTGGTCCTGCCCTGGTAGGTCACAGGTTCCTCTCCTCTCCTCTCTGCTGTGACAGGCTCTGTAAGGAATGCCATTTCCAGCAGCCTGGTTTGCTGGAAAAGGGGAAGGAATAGGAAATATGGTGCCAGAGCTGTGTTCCACCAGGTTTTGTTTCCTTCCCTCTGAGGACAGAGAGTCTCTGGGCTGAGGTGAGATTGCTGGGAGTGTTTAGTGAGCAATCCAGGGAACAGGAAACTCGGAACTGCAGCTGCTGCTGGAACCTTAGGTCTCCTTAGGTTGCAAATATCAGCTCCTACAGTCCCAGAGCAATGAGGGGGGAAAAGAAACATGTGCAATTCATGGCAAAGCTTTGGTTATTCCTTGTGCAGTCTTTTAATTCTGCGCTCTGAGTGACTGTCCAATATCTTTCTGACAAGAGATTTAGATGGAGGAGTTAAATTTGGGTCCATTCACTACAAAATCTTGCCAAGCCTGAAGGCCTGGGCTGATGACTGCTCTCATCACCCTCTGCCTTTATTAATCCTCTGTCATCTCTCTGACTTTATTAATCCTCTGTCAGATTTCCCTCAGTGCTGGGCAGGAAAGGTGAGGGTTTGGATCAGGAATTCTGCGAGCAGGGCCTGTGTGATCCTCTGCTTCCTCTGTGTGTCAGTAAGCCAAAATCAGGAGCAAAGGTTGGTTTGGTTTTAAGAACTTCAAGTAACTTTAAAACAAAATAAATCAACTTTTTTTTTTATTTATTTTAGATGCTGGAACTGCCTTTCTGGATGTGTGCTGAGCTATCGCTGCTGTGGACTGTGTGGCCTTAATTGCTGCAGGGTTCTGTTTTTCTCACTGGGGAATTGGAAATATTTATTAATTAGAAGGCAGAGATGTTTTTGGAAACCTCTCCCTTTTTTCTGCCTTTTAGTGGTAGATCTTCTCTTTCTGCCTCTGAATTTACAGTGATTCTCAGACGTCATTTCACCTGCCCAACTCCTCGTAGCTCAGGGGGGTGCAGGGAAGGTGCTAATCTTTTGCCATATGTGTAGATATGTAACCACTTAGCAGATAATCTCAGATTCTGTAAAGACAGCCTTTCATTTTAAAACCAAACTCCTGCTGCTGGGAAGCTGTGATCAGTTTATAATTTAGCTTTATCTCAGAGATACCAGATTTGTGTGAATCAGAATAGCCCCAACTTCCTTGCAACCCAGAGCATCAGTGTCATCTGACTGAGCTTCTCTGCCACTGCCACCACAGGGTGACTGTCCTCCAGTGCATCAGTAAGGCAGTGGAAGGTGAAATGACAGAAATGGATCTGCCTCTCATTAGTGGGATGAATAGAAGTGTTCTGGGGAGAAGGATGGATGAGGGGGTGAGGAGATGTGTTAAGAACTGGTTTAAAGAGGGATAAGAGGAGGATGCTAATTCTTTTTTGTCAGATAGTTTGGAATAAGCTTTGGAGGACTTTTGGATGATGGTGTCTCAAGTGAACAGTGTCACGTGCACTCCGAGTACAAACACTGCTCAATAAAACGAGCTTGGGGAAAAGTTCTGTGTGTATTGTGTTTGTGGGATCCCCAGATGAAGGAAGGAATGATGAATCCGACTCCATGTTCTCAGAAGGCTAATTTATTATTTTGATACTATATTATATTAAAGAATACCATACTACACTATACTAAAGAATACAGAAAGGATACTTACACAAGGCTAAAAAGATAATAATGAAAACTCCTTGCTCTTTCCAGAGTCTGACACAACTTGGCCCTGATTGGCCATTGAGTCAAAACAATTCACATGAAACCAATAAAACAACAACCTGTTGGTAAACAGTGTCCAAACACAAAGCAGCAAAACACAGGAGAAGCAAATCAGATAATTATTGTTTTCCTTTTTCTCTGAGGCTTCTCAGCTTCCCGGGAGAAGAATCCTGGGCAAAGGGATTTTTCCAGAAAATATGTCTGCCACATGTGTGATGCAGGTGCCTTTATGTTTTTAGAGATTTCAGAGAATTTTCAAATAAGAACCACACATTTTCCTAAAATGAGCATGGGTGTTTGTAGTTGCACTGGAACTGAGCTGCTGAAGCCACACAAATATTTTGTAAGCATAAAATATGTGTGTAATTTATGTTTTCCTGTGCTCAGGCCCACACAGGCCCACACAAAGAGCAGGAGTGACACTTGTACATATTTATTTCCCTTTTTCCTACTAGATAGCATATTCATTACTGTATTTGTAGCCCTAAATAATCACAAGGAGGAAAAAGCAATTTGCCTTACAAGCAGAAACAAAGATGAGGAAATGTTTCACTCTGGATGCAGTGAGGTGTTGAAGCAGTTCTGGAACAGGCAGTGTGGACAAAAGCAGAGGTCTCTTCCCAGGCCTGAGCACCTTGCATTTCTCACAATGCTCCTTCAGGGACTGGGGCCAGCTCATTGCAATGCAGCACTCCAGAGGGAGGCAAGGCCATTTGCTGTGACACCTTTTCCATCTTGCTGCCTCGCTCACTGCTGCAGTTACAGGTGGCCAGCATTTGTGTCTTAAACATTTATCCTGCAAAATAGAGACTTTCGTATAAAAAGTGCACCAAAATATTTCCCTTAGATTTAAATTTTCATCTTGTTTCAATCTTCAGAAAACATTTTGGGATTTCAGATGTTGTTTTTTCTCGTTTTTGTCACCTTCTTCTGTCTCACACTGTTTTCTGAACACAGTAGATGTTTGCCAAGGTTGAAGGATTTGGTGGGAGGGTCATTCTCTCCTTTTTGTTCCCACTTATTTTATTATTTTTGCAATTATTTAAGGCTTTACCTATGTTGTTAGTGTGGTGCATTTGGCTAGCACAGAATCTCAGCTTCCTATCACACCTCTCAATGAAACAAGATAAAAGATTGTAATAGAATTATCTTTTTTTCTCCTTTACCTGAAGTTTGTAAAATTACCAAATAGATGTAAAAATAGATAAGCATTTCTTAAAATTTTGACATTGAGGTTTTCCATGCGGTCAGTTGCAGATGGAAACTATTACTGGGAAAGAAACATAAGTGAAAAATTTTACAAATATTTTGGTGAAGGAATACAGTTTGTCTCAATTTGAATTCTGAAATATAAACAAACTTCTAACTTCAAATTAAATGAGTATTTAGAAAGCTCCACTTATTGTCTCTGTGCCTTGTACATGCAAGTTGAGGGCAGGGTCTAGGTGGGCTTTGGCTGAAAAGCAGCACTTGAAGTTCACAAAGACACCAAGAAGCCTCATTCTTCACACTCAGGTTACATCCCAAAATCAGACCAAGACAAGGAGCTTTCACACTCCTGGTGAGCTGGAATTCCTGAGAATATTTTCTTATGAATACAGCAGAACATGTTGCTCCTAAAACAAAGCCTGTCTGCTCAGAGCTCCAGATTCCTAGGCCTGCAGCAGTCCTCAAGGAATCGAGATGTTTTTCTGCTGAGTGTATTTGAGATGTCCCAGTTTATGTTTGACAGGACTTGTTGCCAGGCTCAGGGTCAGTGTCTAGAAATCAACATGAGATCCTTCAGCACAGTGAATCTGTATTTTACATTTTGGTTTTTAAAAAAAAAAAAAAAAAACAACAAAAAAAACCAACAAACCCTGGCATGGGTGGACTTTGCACCTCTCTGCTTCAGGTAGCCAAGATTTTGTTTAAAGATTGTATTAGAGGTTTTGACTGATTTCCAGGCTCACCCTGAATCCGACAAGGTTCATGTTTTTTGCTTGTGGGTTCAGCACTTTGTGGTGACCCAAACTGGCTCAGGTCCTGCAGAGGTACTGCGTGAAAAGGGCTGGGTTCTGCATGTCCTTCCAAGAGATTAGGAATATTAAGGAAAAGCTTGTTACAAGAAAGAGAATACACAGGGATGACAAATAATTACTGTCGGAGAATATAAATGAGTTATTTATTCCTATCATTTTCTCTGGGTCTGGATTGAAGGCACTTGAGACAGCATTTCACGTTTGGACCCAAATGTTTATTATTTCTTATCAGTAAAACAGTCTCACAACCATGAGTTCGGCAGCTTTTCATTAGCAAGGCACAAAATGGCCAACAATCTCTTGTTATAAGGTCTTTTAAGATTAAACTATCCAATTAAGAACTGACACCTGGATTGTTTTCCCTTTTAACCCAATAACTGATCCCTGGAAGCCTGCAGTGCGGACTTTTCTGCCCAATTACAAAATGCCAGCCAAACCCAAGAAGAAGGAAGAAGGTAAAGAAGAACAACCAGCCTCCATCCTAAAACCTCCATCTTGCTTCATATTTATTTCTATATTCTAAAATCCCAAACTCTAAGATTTTCACCCTGTGATATTACACACTTCTAGTCTAAATGGAGTGGGCAGCCCTGTTGTCCCTCCTTTTAAAGGGCTTGAACTGAGGTAAAAATCCCCCTTTTTACCATAATTTGAGGAAAACCGCTTTTTTTTTCTGCTATTATAGGAGATGAACTCGAAGGGGAGAACACATTTGTTGATGTGAGGTGAGCACGCCGCGCTGCCTCAGTTTCGGGGTGCACTAGAAGGAAGCTCCAGCTCCCGCAGCGTTAGCAGGGTTGTAATCGCGCTGTGCCGCTGCCTTTCAGGGCGCTCCTTCTGCCCGTGGCCCGGCACCGGAGCGGCAGCGCTCCTGGCTTCGCCTGGGGAGTTGCCGAGGTGGAAGGGGAATCTGGCGCGGCTGGGAGCCGGAGCCGAGCGGAGCCGTGCCGGGCCGGCGGCTCCCGCCGGGAGCCGCGCTCCGTCCGGCGCCGGGAGCGCGCGTTTGGATGTTGGGAAGCTCTTTTATGCCGCGGTGTTGAGGCGGTTTTTAGGAATTTATTGGGTCGTTTCGTTTTGTTTGTAGTTGATGTATGCTAAGTTATGTGGTGTACTTCTGGAATGTTATAGTTCTCGGTTCAGGCGCTGATGAGAAGGTGTTTTTTAAATTGACTTTGTTTGTCAGATTTTATTTTTTTTTTTAATTTTGCCTGGATATTATATTTTTTAAGGTTTACAATGATTTTTATGGGTCGCAGCAAGAAGTAGAGGTTAGGTTTTTAATTCTGTCGTGGTGGCTTTTATTAGCCTAAGTAGTGTTTGTTTTGGTGGGTTTGAGGTAGTGTAATGTGGCTGATGGGTGAGGGGTTTTTAATATTTATAATTGCTTCTTTTTTATTGTCTTACAGGGCTTTTACTTATTTGGTTTGTTTGAATGGAGTGGTTGTTTTATTGTTTCGGATAATTTGGGAGATATTGTTTATGGTTACATTTATCTTCAGGCTTCGTCTTTATTTCCAGGTGGTATTTTTATTTTGATGGTTGGAAGCATTTTGGCTTTGTTGAGTTAGGAGTAAGTTTTTTTTTTTTTTTTTTTTTTTTTTTTTTTTTTTTTTTTTTTTTTTTTTTTTTTTTTTTTGCTAATTTGATGTATTTGGTTGTCATATATTAGTTTTATTTTTGGGAACATGGGTATTTATATGGTGGGTCTGTTTAGGTAGTTTTTTTTATTTGGGTAGTTATTTTCTTATTTTTTTAGTGCTTGAGATTTTTAAATATCGTTAATTAGTTCTGGTTTTTTAGTTATTTATATAGAGTATTGGTTATTCTTTGAGTTAATGTAGAGTTAGAGTTTTGGTTATTTTTTTAGTAACGTTCAGGGTCAGTGGTATGGTTTAGACTTTAGTAAATTGGTTTGATATTTTTTTTTTAGTAGTTTTTATGATTTGCTGCATGGGTTTGTGTGGGGTTTCTTTTATTTTCGTTCCATTTTTGTGATGTGATAAGAGTTGTTACTGAAAAGAGTGTTGTGTGGTTTTTTTGCAGGCAGTTGGTTGGCTGGTGGAGCTATTTTGATGTTTTTGGACGATATTGGTGGGAAATTGATGCTGTTTTGTCATTTTTATTTAGGAATTGGATTTTAAGTTTAAAATTACAACTATAACTGTATTTAAACAAAACAAATATATGTATAGAAATAGGAATAAAAAACTTGAAATTTAAATATAGACAGAATATATAAAAATAAAACATAATTGTAACATACATGTATTATGTATTACAATAAGATACTATATATTGTTTAATATAGAGTATTTTATATGTTTATAGAAATAAATATAAATATACAATATAAATAGAAACAAAACCCCATACAAAATATAAATATAGAAATGTATTACAAATATATGCAGACATATATATAAATATAAAATAATATAAATGAATACAATAGATAATTAAAGTAATACCGCATATATCTTATTATTGTATATTATATGAAATATATATAAATACAGTGCATTACTATATTATCATAGAATATATAACAAATTATAAAAATATTTTTAAAAATCATTTAAAATGAAGTTTTTTTTTTAATTTGGCAATAGGCAGGGTTTTTATTATTAAAAATACAATAATAAATAAATACAAATAATATAAAGGTAGAAATCTAAGTGTAGAAACATATAAATATATGAAGATATATATAAATATATGAAGATATATATAACAATTAAAAATATAAGAAAAAATAAGTTGTACCAGTAGAT